GAAGAGCATAGAATGCAGATCCCACATTTTCCTGCCAATATGTGATATCATGTTTAGGTAGTCACACAACTTGCCATTCTAATTAGGCACTTAAATCTTTGAATAAACACATAAATTTAGTCACCAACTATTTATTGAGGAGCATCGACAGCCTATATGATAATTTATTGAAATTAATATCAATTCAGCACATTTTTCTACACTTTATGTGATTAATTAGATCAATTGTAAATATTTTGGGTTTAAATATAGAAAAATGAGCTTTATTTCAAATTAACCTAGAAAATAAAATTTATTGAGAATTTTGCAAAGACTCTTACTTTGATTTTAAACTTTAAAAGATCTTATAGCTGTATCTATTATTTTAGATGATTTATTTTAGATATTTTAAAGATAGATAGCCAAATGATGATTGAAGATGTATATAGAAACATAACAGTAGAAAAATTGGAGCCAAAATCAAAGATTAAAGGCTTTGTGTCACAGAGACGAGGAGTCCTAGAGATGCAAGAGCGTCGTGATGCATTAACAACACACCGCGGCGCAATTTCACATTTTGCCACATGTGCTGCGGCGCATGACCTAAATCCTGCTATGCATTTTAAGTTGCATAATGAAAAAAAAATCAAGGTAGATAAGCCATAAACACACCTCCAAACACCAGATTACTATTTTTAAAGATTCTTTGAGGCTTGCTCTGCTAGGGCTTAGGGTTTTTGAAGGAGATTTAGCCAATGATTAAAGATTTGAAGAGATTCAAATAGATTTTCTTCAGTTTTTCTTCTTCTCTTCCCTTTTCTCTCTTTGTTTCTGATATGGATGCTGTATATTTTGACATTTGTGGCTCTTTTTTGAACATGGGTAGCTAGTTCTCTTGTTCTAAAATTATTTTGAACCTTTATATGGATTAAGAGTTGAATATTCCTCTCTTTTGATAGTTAATAATATATATGTGTTTATTTTATCCTATACTTAATGCTTTTAAGTGATTAGTCCCCATTTAAATTGTTTTGTTCATTGAAGTTGAACTTGAATAAATTAGTATTGGACTTGAAATTTACTAAGATAATTGGATAATTTTGTTGGTAAAATAGAGATATTTTATTAACCCTTTATAATCATATTAAGATTGATGCTTAAAATTTATTTTCACTAACCATTTCTAAGAGATTGTGCAATTTTAATGTTTTTAAATATACTTGATTTTGATTTGAGAAAGCTTTTTCAAGTGAATTGAAATTTTAAACTAACACTTATTTTCATTAGAAAAATCTATTTGAGAGGAATTAATTTAAGTTTTATGAAATATAAAAGGGGAGAGATAATTCTAGGTCCTCACTTCTGAAAATCAAAGTTTCAACAAGTTTTAATTACTTTAAAATAATTTTAATTAAATTTTCATTACTTTCACACAAACATACTCTTAATTTTGCTCAACCTATCTTAAAGTTTAATAGTGAATTTTAACCCTTATTTGTCTAAATCCTCGTGGGAATAATAACTCTGAAATATTCTACACTTGTAATGACTCGTACGCTTGCAGTAATGCTTGACAGAGAACAATATACTATGAGTGAGTTCAAAATAAAATATGAACTATAAAAAGAGGAGCATTTAATGACGCTTGTTAGTTTTGAGTGGACAAACATCAGTTGATCATCTGAATATGCTAATTTGATCCAAGTTTTTTCTATGTGGCTTTACATGAGGTAAAATTTAATCCACATGGTGCCTATGTGGCAAAGGCAGAAAACAAGACATTTTCTTTCTCATTCACTCTTTCACCCTCTCTCCCCTTACCATCCCTTTCTCCTGGGGCTCTTAGATGAGGTGATGAAGAAGACGACAAGGGATCTTTTGATCTCATTGCCACATTACCAACCCACCATTGATTTGCCATTTTGAGAATCACTGATAAAAATGAAGCTTATCACTAGGAACAAGATGAGACTTTTGTCTTTGCACTCTGTTTCTAGATGCTTTTATGACTTGAACAAAGATAAACACAACAAAAATTTGGCTTCAATCCCTCAATAACAAAAATGGAAGAAAAATTAAAAAGCTTTAGTTTTTGTACTAGATTCATATCTCTACAACCATACCCCAAAAATGTAAGAAACACAATCCAAAACTTAAACTATCAAACTTTACCACATAAATCAAACATGAAGCATGGTTAAGAAATTACTAGCAGACCGAGCACTAAAATGAAATCCTAGTTTTGCTCTTCGACTGAGTTATAGTTTGTGGGTAATATATGGAGATCACTACAACATGATAAGAAAGGAAAAGAGAAGGAGCATACTTATCGAGTGGCTTTGAGTGATTGTTTGAAGGAGAAGCAACAGTTATGTTGTCGGCAGGCTTGTAAGGTGATTGGGCAGTGTTGGAAGAGAGATTGAGCTTTAAATCCACGGCAATTTCAAAGAATCCTCTCTTGCTAGTAGTAGACCAATTGTTCTTTAGTGAAGACTCGATGTTGGTGACAGTAGCGGAAGCATCGAGCAATTCGAGTTGCAATTTAATCTCTTTGAATTTAATCATGCTGTACTTATATTGCTTTGCTTTATTCAAGCCTGTCATTCTGCCATCCATGAAGTAAAGTTTAGGTCGTCTAATGTTTGATTCCAGTTTGAGTAAGAAAGGGAGAATGAAAGGGAGGGGTTGAGATGAAGAGGGGTAGTGATGAAACTAGAGAGAGTTAGAGAGCTGAGAGAAAGAAGTGAGAGGTAGAAAGGTTCCTTGAGTAGTGACACTGGCGACTAATGAGTGGGGGTGAGTTAGTGAGGGAGGGAGTACCGATCGGCATACCTACAAGAAGAAGAACTATGAAGCATCAATATGGATATGAGTATGAGATATGATATGGCATGACACGCGGACACAACAATTTTCAAAAAATTTTAGGATACAAGTACCCACAAGTAAAATTGCGTAATTAACAAATAAAGTTATATAATTAACAAGTAATACAGTTCAATTGAAGATTTGGCAAGTAAATTCAAATAATTAATAAGTCATGTTAAAATATTAACAAGTAATGTAGTTCAATTGTGAGAGTCATAAACTTAACAAGGAAAGTTAAGTAATTAACAAGTCCCGTTAAGGTATTAACAAGTATAGTTGCATGATTAATAAGTAATATAGTTCTGTTGCTGTAGTCATGGAGTTAACGAGAAAAGTTAAGTAATTAACAAGTCGTGTTAAGGTATTAGCAAGTAAAGTTATGTAATTAACAAGTAACATAATAATCAAGTGGTTTGGAAAGAAGAATTATTATATATATAATTTGTGGATTATATGATTGAATAGGTTCAATGGCTTAGTGATCCATAACCTTTTGGTGAGCTAAGGGGTCATGGGTTCTACACCCACCCTTAGCTACTTTTAGAGAAATAATTCTCCATCCATCACTGGTGATAGTCCAGTTAGTGGCTGGAGCTTCGACGACGAAGGTCCAGTGGTTGTCGTTACCGGCGGTGGTGATCTGACAACGGTAGTTGGTGTTTTTTTAAATATTTGAACTGAGGATATTTTTATATTTTTCACACTCAATTCATTTTTAGTTTAACCTTGGAGGATTGAATTGAAGTTTTAAATTCTTTAAGGACCCACACAAAATTATGTGTCTTCCCAGGTCCTTAACTAAAATCCTCCCTAAATCAAACATGAAATATGGTTAAGAAATTAACAATAGACCAAGCACTAAAATGAAAATCCTAGTTCTACTCTTCAACTAAGTTATAGGTTGTGAGTAATATATGGAAATCACCACAACACAATAACAAAAGGAAAAAAGAAGGAGCATACTTAACGAGTGGCTTTGCAGGACTAGTGATGAAGGCAGAAAAGGGCAAAAGGGTGCTCTCCCCCTATAATTCCAATGCTCCTTCATTTTTTTTTAATTTTTCTTTATAAAAAATGTGAAAATTAGTTTTTGCCCCTATATTTTTTATGGTTTAAATTTTGCCCCCCATGTTAGCAAGTTTGGATTTGTCACTAGCGAGATTGTTTGAGGAGAGGCAACAATTGTGTTGTAGGCAAGCTTGCAGGGTAACTGGGTAGTAATGGAATTAAGCTTTAAATCCACAGTAGTGTCAAAAAATCCTCTCTTGCCACCAGTAGACCATTTATTCTTTAGTGAAGGCTTGGTGTTGGTGGTAGCGGCGAAAGCTCTAAGCAATCCAAGTCACAATTTAGTCTCCTTGAATTTAGTCACGTTGTACTTATCCTACTTTGCTTCATTCAAGCCTGTCATTCTACCATCTGTGAAGTGAAGTTTAGGTCACTTGATGTTTGATTCCAGTCTAAAAAAGAGAGGGAGAATGAAAAGGAGGGGCTAAGATGGAGAGGGGTAGTGACGAAATTAGAGAGAGTCAGAGAACTGAAAGAAAGAAGTAAGAGGTTCCTCGAGTAGTGGCATCGATGGCTAATTAGTGGGAGGGAGTGACGATTGGCATACCCAAAAGGAGAGGGAGGAGAGAGATGCAAGGAAATGCCACATGTACAGCTGCCTCAACAAATATTGGGTCAAAATATGATCAACTAATACTTATTTACTCAAAACTAATTGAAGGCATTAGATGCTCTCTCTTTTTTATAATTTATATTTTATTTCAAACTAATTCATAATATGGGTTATTAGATGTTTTTTAAAAAATAATTGATAATTAAATTTGAACTTTTACCTTAAATCTTTTAATATTAACTAATAGTTGACATCAAAACATGCATGTTTTGGTTAAAAATTTGAGGGAAGAAATTGATGTCACTTAACTTGCCAACTAATAATACTATCACACGTCAACTAACCATGCCAGCTAGCTAGGATTAAACATGTGGCAGTATTGTTAGTTGACTGAGGATTTTAACTGGGTCAACTATTTATGTGAAGCTGACGCGCACAGCACACTTCGCTTCCCCTGTTTGTTTAATAAAAGCCATAAAAAACAGAGGTTTCATGAGTTGCGGCAGTTTTTCTCTAAGCTTCTCAGGCAACTCTCCGCTTTTCTTCCCTCACACCACACAAACTAATATTCATACATCGCCCCATTTTCGTTATTATCGCTGTTTCTTTCTTCCTATCTCTATTTTCTCAAGTGGGTCTGTCAGATTTCTTTTTCCTGTACTAGCTTTTCATATTCTCCTTACAACACTACGTATTTTGAGGGTTTAGGGAATCATATTCCGCTCTTTTCATTAGCTCTTACTTTCCAAGTATTCTCTTTGCTTTTCTTCAAATCCGCGCATGTTTTTTTTTTTTTCCCTGTTTGTTATGCTTCATTTGATAAGATTTGATTCCCTTTTGTTTTCTTTTCATAAAGTTCAGTTCCGGAATTCTTTGCAGTTTGCATAATCTAAACACTAGAGTTTTCGAAATGCCTTGTTTAAATTTCACTGACGGTATGAACGAAACCGGCAGAACAGTTTCTCTTTCTAAGAAAGTCAGCGGCTGTGTGTAAGGTTGCATTGATCGGCGTCTGAAACTCCCTTTTGTTCTTAACTGGTCGTAAGCGTCATGCTCGATGGGTTTGAAAAAGAAAATTGAAGTTTCCAAGGTTGACTTTCGTATCCCAAGGCTTTGAAACTACCAAAACCGGCAAGAATATGTGGCTGTTAGATCCGAGTTTTGATTTTTAATTTTCAATGATTTTTTTGGTTCCAGAAATCTGGCACTCTGATGTTTTGCCTTCTTGGACTGCAACTCCCGGAATCAGCCAGCTCTTCTCTCACACATCTTTCCTTCTTTCTTGTCAACTTACTGTCGAGCATTAAATCTGTGGGAGATGTCTGTCAGAGTACAGATTAATATCTACATGTAGTAGTTTGGTTATTAAGTTCGAGGATTTATGATGTGCAGGTTGAATTGGATTACAGTAATTAAGATCCAACATGTTCCGTCTCAGAAGGCAAACCCAGAATCAGGCGGAGCGTGATCCATCATACAAAGATGGAAAGGTAAAGTTGCTTGATATTTCTCTCAACCTTCAGGTTGGATTTGGTGCAATATGTGTGTGTGTGTGTGTGTGTGTGTAGAGTATGTGCGAATTGTTCCTGAATATAGAAGGGAAAAATATACGCTTGTTTTTTTGGCGGTCAAAGCAAGTGGAGAAAATGTAATCCCAGAAAATTTTAACACTGCGTTGAACAAAATAAAGATGGATATGATAGGCTTTGTAATATGCTGGGGGCTATGTTGAAGGTTAATTAAATTGCAGAGATTTTTTTATTGAGAAAAATAGACAGAGTCGATAATCATTTTCTGGAAAAAAATATATAGAATTTCTATAGACTTTGAAATCGATACAGATGATTTTATTATCATTAGTTAATCTGTTATCATGCTATTGGTGTTTGTAACTTTTTTTTATTGGTTAAGGTGTAATTTTATTCTTTTACTTAAAAATGAGATAATTTTATTCTTAAATTATTTTTTTAAGGAGTAAAAAACACTCTTTTATAAGTTGCTTAACGCTCCTAAAAAATAATTTATAAATAAAATTACCTTATTTATTAGTACAATGATAAAATTGGAAAAGTTGATGGATAAAATTGTATTTTAATTTTTTTTTGTGATTAATAAAATTGACTTTGTTTTGATCCCAAACCAAAAAAAAAAAAACCCTTATCATGCCAGCAAAATATGGTAAATCGTGTTAATTAGCAATAAAAAGCACCTTTAGATGTCATATATGTTACACCAGTGAATAACACATTAATTATTGTCAATAAGAAACCATTTGTACTAAAATATGTTAAAATAATTATTTAATTTTAAAAGTTAAAAATTACTTACTGTACTATTTACCCGTATTAAGGGGGAAAAAGTAAAAATTAAGAACTGGGTGGACCCATTTGCGATGTTATCAGGTGGCTGAACTGAGGGCTGCTCTGGGGCCGTTATCTGGGCGAAGTCTAAAGTATTGTACGGACGCATGTCTGAGGAGATATTTGGAAGCAAGGAATTGGAGCGTCGACAAAGCCAAGAAAATGCTGGAAGAAACAGTCCAATGGAGATCCACTTATAAGCCTGAGGAAATCCGTTGGGTAACTCATATATATTTCTCATGTTCTTTCTGTCTAATAATTTTTATACTTAAAGCTTATTTCTTACATTATCATCAGCCTGAAGTGGCACATGAGGGTGAGACAGGAAAAGTGTCGAGAGCAAATTTCCATGATCGTTTCGGAAGAACTGTGCTTATAATGAGACCAGGAATGCAGGTTTCACCTACCATCATTAATCACTCCACTTGGATTGATTAATTAAGGCATAACACTTGACCTAACCTCTTTACCACTTGTGTTTTAAATTATTTTGCCAGAACACGGCATGTCCAGAAGATAATATCAGGCATTTAGTGTACCTCATGGAAAATGCTATCATCAATCTTCCCGAAGGTCAAGAGCAGATGTCATGGCTGATAGACTTCACTGGATTTTCACTCAACACCACTGTTTCTGTCAAAACAGCTCGTGACATTATTTACATCTTGCAAAACCACTATCCTGAAAGGCTTGGTATTGCTTTTCTGTATAGCCCACCAAGAATATTTCAGGCTTTCTGGAAGGTTTGTTCTTTGTTACGTTTCTCCAATTTTGGCCACGCCCTTGTTGTTGCTCTTTGGGATTTTCTAAGATGTGAGAATCACAAGCAGGAAATTGTTGCATTCTGATTCTGATAGGCTGTGAGATACTTCTTGGATCCCAGGACATTCCTGAAGGTGAAGTTCGTTTATCCTAAAGAGAAGGAGAGTGAAGAGCTGATGAAATCACTGTTTGACATGGAAAATCTTCCCAATGAATTTGGAGGAAAAGCAACATTGAAGTATGACCATGAAGAATTTTCCAGGATGATGATAGATGATGATGTGAAAACTGCTAAATTCTGGGGAGTCGATGACAAACCATTCGACACAAAAGAATGAGGCGGTACTAGAACCAGTGAAAATTTGAGCAAGCACCGTGATCATTAATAATGTGATAAAGAAAGAAGCATGATTTTGTTTCTTTCAATTGCTAACTGGAAACCAAGCAATCTGTCACTGTTTTCTGTATTATCCTCAGCGACTCTCACTCCCCCCTACTTGATATGTCCTGTCGAAATCTCCCTCTTGTTATTCTAATTAATGAACTTGTGCCCACTTCGTATCTTACAAGGGTACGACACTGTTATCATAATTAATATCTTTATTTTTATATTTCGTTTTTTTCTTTTTCGTTTTTCTCTCCTTTTCCTTTTGAGAGTCTAAAGTCTAGTTCTTAGTATCACAACATATATAGCAATAATGCCACTCGTGCGGGGTGATGCTTATACGGCAAATTGACCCATATGCTATAGCAAAAAATGGAAATTATCAAAGTTGTGTGTCAGGTATTATTATTATTTTTTTAAAAAAAACTGAACACAAATGAGAGGCATGGATAACCGAAGTACCTGACACCCCATTCCTTTATCCCTTCCCTCAAACCTCCTACCATTTTTCTCTTTTACACCTGCCCCACTCTCTTCCATCATTATGCATATACATATATATATATATATGACGCGCGACGCGCACATATATATATATATATATATATATATTCACATATTTATGTTTGGTTAATGACACGGAACAAATTACATCATTTTTAAAAATTAAAAAAATAATTTACATAATAATTAATTTCAGGGTCTTTTAAAAGTTTAAAAAGTGATTTGTCCATTTATCTTTATAAGTATAACACACACACACAAACACAGATATGTGTGTGTGTATATATATATATGAGATTTTGATATAACTAATAGTGCATAATTTTTTTGGCCAATATATAACTAATATATAATTAATATATAAATTTTCTTAATAAATATAAAAAATATATTATCTTTTATATATTAAAATTGGCTAAAATATATTTTTTATCCTCTAGTTTTATACAATATTTCAATTTGATCTCTTTTTTTATAAAATATCTTTTCAATCTTATAATTTCAACACCATTGTTTATCAATAAAAAATTTCTACATTCAATTTTCAAATATTGAAAAACTATTATCAAATGTTAAGTTAATTTTTTAAAATAAAAGTATCCAAGAATCAGCCGAGATTTATCATCATCACTCTTAGTTTAATTTAGACTATAGCGTTGGCTACCACAAAAGTTTGAAGTGAACGCTTTACATCATTAATAAATATAATTAATATATACAACTCAATTAAATAAATTATATATGAAACTATTAAAAATAGTAAGCAATATAAAATATTTAAACCATGCATTATATAAAAATTCTTAAAATAAAACATTATATATGACTATTTTCATCATCATTATTTATTTAATAAGAATAATAAAAGATTATAATATATATATCTTATATTTTATGATTTTAAAAAAATATACTTATAAATATATGAATACTAATTTGTTATATATACATGTTTATTTATAATATATAGTATTATATATTATCATGAAAGGGGGTTATTTTTTTTGGGGCTTTTGTAGATACAATTTATATTATAGAACTAAACCAAACAAACAGTCTAACATTTATCATATTTTGCATTATTATCGATTTATTATTTTGTTATTGATATATCAATAATAAACTCTTTATATATCAATAATAAATATTTTATATATCAATGTGAATTGATTATGCTCTCAAAATTTAAAAATTTAGTCTATATTTTTTGAGCACAAATTTTTTTCAGCCAATTAACTAATTTGTCCTATTTTTTTTTCATGGGAAAAGAGAGAGTGGAAGCATGGAACCATGGGGTGACAAGCCATGTTCAAATTTTTACTTTAAAAAAAATCATTTGACGCTTGATGCAAACCAAGTTGTGTGTCAGAATTTTTTTAAAAACTCTGTAGATATCAATTTGTGAATTTATAATATGGGGGTAAATATTTTGAAAAGTGTAGTATTTGGGTATTTTTTATTTTTTGTTGTTGCATTTGGATAATTTAGCCTGTTCATACGTTTTGTTTTTCCTTTTTAAAGGTATGGACCATCAAAATTTTCCTTAACATCGATCCATGGTGAACCTATGCCATGACGTTTTTTGTTTTTAAAAATCTGGGATCTAAGTCAAAACAAAGAAGGTGAAGCAAAAAAGTTGAAGAAAACAGTGGAACATAAATATATAATTTATTTGCCTTCCTGGTGAAATAACTTTTCTTTTTGTTAAACGGATAAACTAGCAAAATTACAGTCATGAACTTGGAAAGCAATTATGACGTTGAAATAATGGAAAATAATGGAATGAACGGCGAATATACAAAGAAATATTGAATATTTAACGAAGCAATGTCATATCAAGGTCCCGTAGCTCAGTTGGTTAGAGCGTTGGTCTTATGAGCCGAAGGTCGCGGGTTCGAGCCCCGCCGGGACCATATTTTTGGTTTTTCGTTATGGCCCAAAATGTTGCTTTTTTGGTTACGGCCCTCCTACTTTACTGCCAGCCCAGTCCCTGGACTCCTCCTGCAGCCCCGTTAAAACACCTCGAACAATCTACCTGGCCGATCGATTTGATCGGAGAATCATCGTCGACGCCATCACGGTGGATCAATCATTTAGGTGGATTTTCCTTGCCTCAGGCCGGATATACCTGTTTCATCCCATTTTGTGGAGTTATTTCAACTTCTTTGCAGTTTCATAGGTATCCTCTAATGAGTCGAAACCTCTTTCTCTTCCAGGAAGGGGCAGGATGATAAAAGCCGTATTGGTGATGAACACGCAGGGGAAGCCTCGTCTTGCAAAATTTTATGAATTTCGGGTCCTTCTCCCATATCGTCCTCTTTAAGATTTCAATTTTCCTTTCCTCCCCGAGTTCCTGTGATTGTTAACGCTTTTGTTAGGCTTAATTTTGTTGTGTTAGGTCAGCCTGTGGAGAAGCGGCAGGAACTAATACGTAATGTGTTTTCAGGTCTCTCTCTGTCTCCCTTGGTGTCTCTGAGATCTTATGGATCAATGCAGTTTATTTTAATTCTTCTACTCGATCGCAATGATAGGTTGAAGATGTGTTTATTGTCTTGAGCGTGTCAATAGCCTACTTCTCAGGGTTTTACCTCTTTTAAAAAAAAATATCTGTTTTGGTTTTTATTTATTGTTGATTGTTGATACAGTCTTGTGCAGTAGAGCTGAAAATGTTAGTAGTTTCGTGGATGCTGAGTCCATCTTTGGTAAGGTATTATCTTCTTTTAATAACTCACTACTTAGCTCTCTTCTTCCCTATTTATTGGTATCGTATACTAGGAATGATGGTTGAGCATGAACTTGTTTTTGTCTTGTTAAAAGTTAAAACCTCCTGGTTTAGTAGTATTACACTACTGCTGCAACATGTTTTTGTATGATTATCGAGCATAGAAGCCTCACTGTTAGGTCCATTTAATCTATAGTTTATTTTGTTGTTTTAACATTTTACATAAACTGGAGCTAAATTGATCAGACATCCTGCGGTGCTGACATTATTGATTGCCTGCGCTGTTCCTAACAATTTTGCATTTGAACATGAGCTATATTGCAAACATATCTATATCCCATAGAAAAGAAAACTCGTGGAATCATCTGTCCCTTTTTCCTTCAGGATGCTCGCCTTGTCTACAAGCACTATGCAACTTTATACTTTGTGTTCATATTTGATAGTTCTGAAAATGAGCTGGCAATGCTTGACTTAATACAAGGTAGATTTCTTATTGGAAATAGTTGTTACTTTACATTTTTCCCCAAGTTGTTTGACTCTGGAATTTTTATTGCTTTAGGAAGCATACTGCTACAGGATGGGGGTCCAATAATATTAAATAGCCATGTCCATGAAGTGTTTTCCTCTTGTCACTTATGAGTCTTGAAGTAGATATATGATCTTTGGAGAACAAAAAATGGTGTAATTTTATAATATTGTTAGGAGGGGGAATTTGAAAAACATGAGGTCGGACTGTTCAATTGACTGTGGAATGTGGACAAAAATATGTGGTGGTCAAGTTGGACAACAGCCTCTCAAATCTCCCCTTCATCCAAATGCTAAAAAGCTCTAATCATCTTCTAATAGGCTAATATGAAATATAAATTAAGCGTTTCTGTTATTGTTTTTTTCTTTGCTTACATTGAACTTGAAGTAAGTTGTTTGGATTTTGTTATATATTTCCTGTTGGAAATTGGGAAAGAGCTTGTTGCTTCTGATCCCTATAATCTTAGTTAGGGCTGCACTGAGCATATGTTCTGGAAGATGCTTTAAATTTTGAAGATACTTACTATGAAAAACTTGTGTGTAAAAAATGAGGAACAGTGAATTGGTATTGCACTGAATGTCATTTCGATGGTTTTGAAAATCTCTCTTTCTTGACTATGTGCTGTCTTTCAGATAATTGTTATGGGTGGTGGTGATAGATAATCTGATAATCTAGCCCGACACTTTAATTAAAGAATTCTTGTGCTGTTTGAGTTATCTTGGTTTTGATAATGGGAATATTCTGGATGCAGAATTTATGTGTTCCATGTATTTTCCACTATAATCTGTATTAGCTTTATGTAACAGTCAGCTCGTACTGCTGTTCTTTACTGCTCTTGGACTGCTTATTGGCTGGGTGATTTGCTTACTATGATCTTTCTGCATACAGTCTTTGTTGAAACATTAGACAAATGCTTCAGAAATGTATGTGAGCTTGACGTAGTGTTCAACTATAGCAAGGTTGTGGACTCTTTCTTCTACATATTTCTGCATGACCTTTGTGTTATAGTCTTCGTTTCAATAATAATAAGCCTTATCTCATTAAGTGGATTTGGCTATATAGATTGCATGATACTTTTGTGCTCATCCATGTTATAGATTCGACTGAGTTTTATGTCGGCTGTCCTTATCCAGGTTTGGGACTATATGTAAAACGTAAACATAGATGGAGTTTATAGTCTTTGTATCAAAACACGTCTTGGTTGAACACACTACACATTATTTATTATAAACTTTATTGTATAGTGCACTATAGGCTTGATGTATTTTCTGCTCAGGCAGACGTATTACTATTACTTTTAGACTCTCAGTGTTAAGAGGTTTTTTTTTTTTTTTTAAAAGAAATTTATTCGGAATTCCCACTTCGTTTGACAAGTTGATGATTTTCATGCTTCTAAGTTCTAAGTTAGTGCCTGTATTACTGGAAAATCGAATTTACTCTCATGCTTAATATTACTAGGTATGCATATAGTATTGATTTCAAGTCTATTAGACTAGCAGTAATAATTGCATCTCAAATTTCCCTTTATTTGATGTTATCTGTTATACGCAGATGCATTCTATTCTAGATGAGATTATCTTTGGAGGCCAGGTGTTGGAAACAAGTTCAACCGAGGTTCTGAAGGCTATTGAAGAATTGTCAAGGTGCTCCCCCCCCCCCTCCGTATTTCTAACTTGCAAGGTTTTAAAATTTAAATTAATGTATTTTTTATCTGCATGTGTACATTTATTTATATCCATGGTTTATGATGCAGGCTAGAAGCGGCCTCCAATGCTATGAACCTTGTCCCAAAATCTGTTTCTGGTTGGAGGACGCGGTAGGCTATTATCATTTAGGCTCACGGATTGATCTTCATTGTAGTGATACGTTCCAACTTCCAAGTGTTATGAACGACGGGGGCGGGGCTGCAATTTTTATCAGGAGAATCGATAGCATTTATTTTGGATATTCTAAAGTAAAAACTCCTACGCTGAACGACAAAATAAAATCCAACCAAGTACAGAAGTTTTCATCTGGAACTGCTTTGACTGAATTGGTGCAAGGGACCTCTTTAAACTCTACTTAACCTATTATTTTTGTCTTTGTAAATTGTAATTGCATGCCACAGAGAACGGAGAGATGAGGAATTGTAGTACTTGCAACTTGCAAGAATTGAATTTCCCTCTTGTTTGCTCCAGGACTGTACATTTACAGTATTTTCCCCCTAAGTTAATCATATACTGCTGTTTTATTACTATTTTTTAATCGGAAGAGAGAAGACAGTTATTTTATGATATTTTCTTATCTTTTTTTTTATTTTCACATTTTTATCACAACAAATATAAAAAAAGAATGACATTTTTACTTTCTATTATGCCATATTATATATGAATATGAATATAAGTTATACTAATACAATTACACAAGATGCATGTTTTGTGCATTTTGCTGTTTTTTAAATTATGAATAGCATAATTTATTATAGAATTTATATTATTAGTATATAAATTCTATTAAAATGGTTTCTCTGTTTCTATTTTTTGGAAGCAATCTATCAAAACATAAAAGAAATTTGCACGTCGTGGGAAATCGAATCCAATTTCCAATCTCATGGAAGCATAAAATGTGTTGCCTGGGATGGAAAACGGGAGCTAATCGCCTAATATAAATGGCAAGAAGTGGAGTAAGCCACCAAGTGGGAGGACAAGGATGAACAGTGAGGGATTTGGATTTCCTTCCCAACTTCACTATTTGGACCAAACTGAGTTTAGGCATTGTTCATTGTTGTGCAACAACAAAGAAACTGAACTAACGAACAATCCAGTTTGGGAATTTCCGTGTGGCCCAAATTGAGTTGCGGCTGAAAGCTATCTATTGTTCTTAGTTGTGCCAATGTCAAACAGTGGTCCCATGGTCTAGTGGTCAGGACATTGGACTCTGAATCCAGTAACCCGAGTTCAAATCTCGGTGGGACCTTCCAGTTCTCTCTTTTTTTTCCGTTTTCACTCATCCGAAATTTCCTGGGATAAAACGTAGTTGGGTAAATCAAAATAGGCCTTACATATAATTGTAGTTGCTTGAATAACCTGATATGCATCTGATTGGCTATAAAAACCCAAAAAAAAAAAAAACATGGTAAGCATCAATTTAAAAAGTTATTCGATCTCACCACACGATGACGACGTTAAATTGTTGGCTTGTAGATCTGGATAGAAAAGTTGAGGAGGCAGAGCTACAGCCCCACATGTCAGCCTCATAATCTGAGACTTGAGCTCAGTTATTAAATTAAAAGCAGATGAAGAACAAATTGTTGGAAAACGTTTTGTTTGCCTGCTGTTTCGGTTGAGTATGCATATAAAAATGAGTGTGAAATCTGACAGGTGGGTGGTTTTAGATCCCCCAGAAGTGGATTTCTTAAATTAATACTACAGGTAGAAGATAATTGCATCCCCATAATGCTGCTGCAATTTTGTGTCCCAGAATCTGCAAAGCTGCGGCTTAAAGATAGATTTAACAATTGATAGGCTAATGCTGTGCTAAAGCAGATAATAATTTCTAGTTTCGCAAGTACCAAGTTGGTGGCTCTCTGTCTCTTATTAGCCTATCAGCATAATTTTTCTTTTATCGCATCATAATTTGATAACTGAAAAGTGAAACTTCAGCAATCTCATTGGCAACAATAGAAGAATATGGCACAACCAGACACGTTATAGTTGGAACCTTGGTGATCACACGTTCTTTCATCAGGCTTTATTCCCACTTCCAACGAGGTCGCCAGAACTTGAAGCTCCTCAAATGCAGCAACTATGAGGTGTTTATAGATTGCATTTAATTTTAAACTTCAAATTGATCCAATTCTCTTTCTAAACGGATGCAGTCATTCATTTATTTGCATGATTTGACTTGGTTTAATTCATGTTTTATTTCTAACGATTTCTTTTCATCTAAGCTTGTACTTTTAAAGTTTCCAATTTACATGTATTTTCTTTGCATAGTTCAAATCCAAAATCACAAATTAAACATAGTCTTAGAAAGATTCCAAGCAAACATTATATATAAACAATCAATCCCCAATTTTTAATAAGCATATGATATGATAATATTAATGTTATCTTTGTTTCATTAAAAAAATGATCTTTAATGTTGACGAAAAATTAATAAAACATCATATCAATCCCAAGTTCCCAATTTTAACTGAACTGATACAATTGGGTTCTCATTGAAAAATCAAAATAAATTGATTTATTTTTTAGAGAAAATTAATTATTTGATTGTTATAGTTTTAATTTAATTATAACTTAGTCTATAAATTTTAATAGGTGCAACAAAGCTCCTATAGTTTGACTCAACTATAATTTAATTAATAAACTTTTACTTGCTACAACTCAATCTCCTTTTTAGCTATTGAAAATATTAGTTTTGAGTTTCAAAAAATAACTTTAAGTTGCGTTTTGATGGGTGAATTTAAGTTAGAAATTTGAACTAAAATCTCATATTTAAAATTTAGATTTAAAATTCATATATTCTAAATTTTTTATTTAGATGATAAAAATTTTAAATTATAATATTAAAATCTTTTGTTTGGATCTAAAGTAAAATTTTAAATTCTATATTTAAATTTAAAAGAATGGACGACTGGTGAAAGTTGACGGTTCGAATGGCCAACTTCCATCGGAATCAAACAGTCAAAGCCAATTGGGACTGTAGCACTGACAACAACCAAGATGGGATGGCCACTTCCACCGAGATCGGACCAACGGTGTCAATGAGGAGTTGATGATTGCCTTCCACTAGGACCGAACAACTGACTTTTATAGGGACTAGGACTGAGATCGACGACTACAACGAGACCAAACTGACTGCAATAAGTGGGATCGGACCACTGACTTTCACTGGGATCAGACCGAAAGCAACTAATGGGACGAGATGACTTATTTCCATCAGGATAGGACCTGTGGCAATGAGGGATCGATGGCCGACATCCACCAAGTCAAGTCAACAATCCAGTCTCGGTAATCGTAGTTGGTCCGATTCCAGTCGTCGCTGTCGGTATGGTCTAGGTGGAAGTTAGCCATTCGGTCCTGGTGGTCACTGTCAATTTGGTCTTGGTCATTGTCATCAGTCCAGTCTTAGTGGAAGTCAGCCATTCAATTCTAATGGTCACAATCAATTTGATCCCAGTGGAACTCAATCTTTCGGTCCTCGTCATTGCTGTTGGTCTGGTCCCCATGAAAGTCGAACGTTCAGTCTCCATCATTGTCATTGTCCGGTTCTAATGAAAGTTAGCCATCCTATGCCAATCAAGGTTGGCAGCTTGTTTCTGTCAAGTTATTTGGGCCGATGCAATTATTGTTAATGAGTTGAATAAACCTTCATGAATTTAGGTCAAATTACAGAAAAGATTGAATTAGGATTTGAAATAATGGGAGTTTAGAAATGATTTTAAATTACAAAGAGATTGAAGTAGAACTTGAATTTAGACTTGAGTCAAACCAAATCCAAATATTTTTAAATCCAAACAATGAATTTGGCTCAAATCCAAATCCATATGTATCTAAACATGACATTAATTCTTATAATTTTATTTTTTAAAATATAGAAACAAATATTTTAAATGATCAAAAGTATGGAAACTAAATTACATCAAATTGAAGTTTAGAAAGATTGACAGCTGAATCAAAATTATAGGTGAGCTGTATTGAGTCAAATCAAATGATTAGTTTTTCTTAATTTTAATATTTGAATAATTCAATTCAATTTCAAATATTTGTAGCCATTATTTCAACATTAATATCTACATAAAATACAAAATTTATGATAAGTTGTACTGTTTGTGAGCGATAAAATTCAACTCAGAAAAAGTACACCAAATTCTTTTACATGCAATTTCTTGACAGGAAACAGATGGAAAATGTAGCACTCTCTCTGAAGTCCACATGGGGATGAATAGTAACAATTGTAATGGCGTTAAGTCTAGTTTCTATTTTGCAGCAGAAGTAATTAGAGAAGACTTGAAAGGGAAGCAAGGAAATCTCCAGAAATGAGAATAGTTACATTCCATCTACTCTTCACAGCGGCTCAATTATTTTACACATAAATAGCATTAATAACATGTACGGTTTGCTGGACAACTTGCGAAAGTAAATTTTAAATGGGGTACCGTGTGACGTGTCTGTCTTCTTCTCTCACTCTGCCTCCTCTATATTAACAGTCTCAGCCTTCCTAGTCCCTACCCTCCAGTCTTCCCTACAAACTATTCCATTTTTTTTTCTCTATCCATTCTTCAAAAGATTCTTCCTAGAGCCTCACTTCTTCCCCATCCCTTATCCCTTATCCTGATTCTGTTTCAATGGCAGACAACAAAGTTTCATCTTCTGGTGGCTCCAATCAGAGATGGATAGGCAAGAAGAACAAACTGTTTGAAGATGCCTTGGCTATATATGACAAGGAAACTCCTGATCGTTGGCGCAACATAGCCTTACATGTTGGTGTATCCACTGAAGTTGAAGTCAAGATGCAGTATGAGATCCTTTTGGAGGACATCAAACAAATTGAGTCAGGCAAGGTTCCTCTTCCTCTTTATAACAGACATGCCGGATGCAGCAGACCAAGCATCACCAGTGCAGAGCAGAGGTAACCCACTGTTTTCAATAATTCATTCTGTTGGCAGTTCTGACTTCATTAATTATTATCTTTGCCTTGGTTTCCTGCACAAAGTGTTGGTGCAGCCTTGACCATGATTCATGAAGCAATATGTTCTATTTCAAATATATCATGCATTTGGTCCAAGCATTTACAGTTTTGCTTCTGATAAATGTTTTAGGCAAACCACTTTTTTCTTTGGGTGCATTTTCTGGCTCTTTAGTTGCAGCCTTATCAGGAGATTTTGACATTATTAGGTTATGTGGGTTGTTAAGCCAAAACAGAGAATAATTAGGAAAGATGGAAGACTTGCTGTTAGACTTGTTTGCTAATCCTCATTTTCTTCACACATTATCTGCAGGTTGAGGAACTTGAGACTCTAAGCTAATGAAGAATGAATTATAAGTAAAGACAAGAATAATTTTTGTAGTAGTCAGTTCTCCACATGTAAGCATTGGCCATCATGCAAATCTCTTTGTTTAGGTGTACCCGTGTATGTAATGAATATTCTTTCACGCTTACTCTCAGCATGGCAATTGGCAAGGAATGTGAGAAAAAAGAAACATCATAGATCAAAGTGATCATATTCAAAAATCTCCATTTTGAATGCATATGTGACCATAGTCCAGCAAAATCATATTTCCAATCGCTGGTGAAGAACACAATCATCGATCTCAAGTCAATAAGAATAATTTAGAACTACTGTGTTATCTCAGGCTTACAAAATTAATGTCACCAAACTCAAAGGAAATAATAGGCTACTGGTAAACCTACTTTACTCATCATTTGGTTGATTCAGAAAGATTTTGAAACCTCCTGGTTCTTCGTAGATGATTAAAAGGGTAGAGAGCTTTCTGTCCGGAATCGGAGAATAAAGTGGAGACATTGTACTTCCTTCTCAACGTTCAGTGTTCCTATAGGGCCACCAAACTCCTCTGGCTCTTCTACGTGAGCTCAACTCCTAAATATATGCAATATAACCCAGCCGGCACAACAGAGAGACTTCCCATATACGATATTCAGTAGTAACTATCTTAAGTGAATTGTATTGCTTAAGCAAGTCCTGTGTTCATCCATGAAAACAAAAAGAAGAAGAAAATTTTTTTCCGCAACATTCAAAGCTTAAATTCAAAGCAACAGTAGAAGAGTAAATGTTAAAGAAGCAAAAGCATTCTCGACATACATGAGCTTGTAGAAGCTGCAGAAAGGGGAAAGCTAAAATCGGGAAGATGAAATGGATCCAATATAAAGCCCACCTACTTGTGGGCCGAGGCCCATCAGTCGGACTAGCTGTCAACATGTTCGTGACACCTGCTCAGGAGAAGGTGTTCTTTTTCTTTTTTCTTTTTTCTTTTTTTAAATAAAATAGTTTTAGTGTTTTAGATATCTTCCTGTTCTTTCGGAATCTGCTGGGGAGGAAGAGCCTGAACCAAAGGCATGGGCGGACAAAGAAAGACGGCCTCGAGAAATCCGCCGTTCAAGGTTTGGCGCGCTGCCTTTTACATTAAAACTAATGGCGTGTTCTTGCATTTGCTTGAGTTTGTGTTCAAAGGCAATGTGATTTTCCAAAAACTTTGGAGGATTTATTCTAATTCAACAATCCTAAACATTATTTTACATCTTGGGAAACTATCAACTCTTATTTATAAGAAGCGAGCTCGTTTACTGAAACGAATTGCTTCGTCACAGATAATTCTGGGTTCTTCATCAAAGGCTCGCAAACAGATTCTAGCGGAGATGGGATTTGAGTTCACAGTTGTGGTATATATTATTGTTTAATGAAGTAAAGTTGCAACTCCCAGATGGCAATGTACTATTGGAGAATTTATTTGGCTTACAATTTAGACTGCAGACATTGATGAGAAAGGTATTAGAAGGGAAAAACCAGAAGACTTGGTAATAGCCTTAGCTGACGCAAAGGTATGAGTTCTTTGGTTTCTTCTTCCTCTTTTGTATTTTTCATTTTACTCTGCCAACTAGAACTGCAACACTCTCGGCATGTCTGGGGCCCAAGAGCGTTTGCATGTGTATAACAGAAGTCATTGATTTCTTGTAATTGATTTTTATGGTTGGGCTTGATAACTTTTTGGGGGTTCTCATTCGAGATTTATACCCCTTTAGTTTATTGATATATTAGTCTTCATCAGAGGCTTTGTATAGATGTGGCTTCATTCATCTCCCATATATTATATCGAAAAATAATAAAATTGGAATTTTCCATGAGACTTAAGAGTTGTCAGCCCATTGAACCACGGGATTTGTTTAATTTCCAGTAAGATTTATTTTAGAATGCTATGATCAAGAAATAAGGCCTTGCATGCAATTTGTTATGACTTTGAATAAGCAACAATTGCATTTTTCATCGTTGCATCCAGAAACCCACTAAAAGTTACAAAATAAAGAAAAGAACAGCATAACAAGTAGTTGACAGAGTGTGCACAAGCAATTTCAAGTCTTCATATTATGGTGTGATTGTTCCAAGCTAAGTAATGCTTGAAATATTCAATCTTCAACTTTTATGTTCTTAGGCAGATGCTATTATACAAAAGCTTTTGACTGGAGAGAATTCATTAGAGGAAGATATTATGGCAACGCTGTTAATTACTTCAGACACGGTAAGCATTTTATTTGTCTTTGCTTGGTTGTTTCATCTGCATTTTTGACAGGAATATTAAGTTACCTGCTATGCATATTCATATAGCAGAAAGGCATGACTTGGTTTGTCCTTTCTCACTTTAATATCTTTGTGATTCATATATCTGGTTTCTGGTTTCTTAGGGACACCATTTGAGAAGAGGCTTATTTCTACAAAGTCTGTCTCATGGACACTTAAATTGTTCTTGGTTCACATTCCATTTATTATTTTATATACTATGATATGAATGGTTTTCTTGATTGCAAGAGTGTTCCTAGCTTTGGGATTTTTTTCCCCCGTCTTTATAAACCTACAAGGCAAGTCATTGGGAAAACGATAACAGAAATTGAAGAACATGAACCTGCAGAACACATCAATTCCAGAAGAGGCGACAAGGACAAATATAACTTTGATTACCTTTCTGAGGAGTGTGCCATAATTAAACTTTGATGGTTCAAGTTTCGTTCATTACATGTCAGCATGCATTTCCCTTGGTCGTTTTGTGTAACAAGTACCAGCTGTCTTTTGATTTTTCAAAAATTGTCATTTTTATTTCCATAATATCTTTCACTTCATCATTGCCTTAGCTTTTTTAGCATTCTATGATATGCTATTTTTATTTTTTTTTGGGGATATATCCTCACCTTGAAGTTATTATCTTTTGTTGCACTAAACTTTATGCAAGATTAAACGTGGTTTTACCCATGTTCTGCAGGTAGTGGTACACCAAGGAACTATCAGGGAAAAACCAACCAGCAAAGAACAAGCAAGGGAATATATCAAAGGTTTGCTTCGTGGAATATCATACATTTCTTATTGGGGATTTTATGCCATAATCGGCTACATACTTATTATTGTAAACTAAATTCCAGGGTATTCTGGGGGCAATGCTGCAGTGGTAGGATCTGTTATGGTAACCAACCTTAAGACTGGAAAAAGATGTGGGGGTTGGGAAAGCGCGGAGGTAATATTGGCTGCTGACTGAGCATATGTCTAAGCCTATCATAATCCGATACAATAAAAATCACAATTTGGATGACCTTTTAGATTTTAAATGCATCTGAAGTTCATTAGTTCCTAACTTTTAGAGTGCTAGTACCTTTTGATGCTTTAAAGTCATTGCTTTATTATTTACATGAGACTATGACAAGCCATCTCCTTCCCTTCCTCTTAGGATTTTAAATGCCCGCCATTCATTATAATACCTCCATTTTGTATCTATTGTCGTTTAAGGCTATGGCACCTAGATTGAGAAATCTAATTGATGTAAAACAGTACCATATATTGAGATTAATAGGGGGCAAAAGATGATAAATGGAAAGAGAAGATGATGAAAGAGAGATAATTATTAAATAAGGGCATGGCTAGGATAAAAAATAGTTCATCAGGCCTTGGATTTCTAAACAACAATAGAAATGGAACAGAGCGAGTGTATTTATATTTTCTGTACATATATTCATTAATTCAATATTTTCTGTTCTCGACAGAGACAGCTTCAGTAGCATTTGTGATTGTCGTGACAGGTTTATTTCCACGAAATACCAGATGAGGTCATTGATGCGGTGGTAAGCTTTTTATAAGTACACTTTTCACCCTTGCACTGAAACAAGCATGAAGGTGAAAAGAGTACTTTGATGAGTTTCTCAGAATATAAGATCTTTGATTAATTTTTACGGGTAATTCTTGTCCCTAAATACTGTATAAGTTTTCTTATTTGATGGGAGCTTCTCAGATTGACGAGGGAGTTACATTCAATGTTGCTGGGGGTTTGATGCTGGAACATCCTCTGACATTGCCCTTTGTTGATGCAGTGGTTAGTTATCTATCTTTGAAATATTTCATTATTTGCACAATATAGTACCTCAGAAAACCATTAGCATCAAAGTCACTCAAGATAAGTGTCATCCGTTTCCTTAGGATCCTTAAGTGAACTTTTTGAATTGCATATTTTCCCCTTTCCAGGTTCTTACATATCTATGAAAGCAGAAAATATTTGGAGCATTAACCGACTAACTGTGACTCGTTTTATAGGCATATATGAATATAAATTTCTAGATTAGCAGGCTTTATAAATCCTCTTCTTTATGTTTTGCCTTTTTATTCCTAAGGGGGGCTGATCTCTCATTACTTAGCTGTCTGAAAAAAAGTTTTCTTTGGAACTTTGGTAGGTTGGATCAACTGATACTGTGATGGGACTTTCTAAAGCTCTCACGGAGAAACTCTTATTGGAAGCTCTATAGTCTTCTGCAATATTACAAATATACTTTGATTGGTACCATGTGCTCCCTGCAATTATTATGACGTGTTTTGTGCTCCAATTTGTGTTTGCCTCTGCAAATTCTTGCAACGCAATACAAACAAGAATGCTATTGATAACTTCTAGCAAGTATTCATAGAAACATTTTCAACTTTATATTCAACTTTATATTGATCTCCCAATCTTGGTTGCTTGATATTAAGTGACTGATACTTTCTGAGGATGGGATGTGCCTTGTCTTTCTCTTTTCTTAATTGCTATGGTGTTTAACCAACTTATAAACAGGTCCTCATGACATCTTTAAGCTATAATTGAATCCTCACAGGAGATTGACGAAAACAGGCATTAGTTCTAGAGGCTATTTCCTGAACCTCCGTGGGTCCACTTGCAAAAGTTCTATAGGAAGACACAAGTTGAATTCAGCAGCGGTAGCATCGGACTCCACTGGTCCCTTGCAATTGACATGAATATATGTTTGGTGTGATATTGTTGGTTATATTTTCCGTGAGTGCCAGACGTGCTTTAAATATCAAGATATTTTAAGTTAAACTTGACATTTAAACTAACCAGTTTGACTTTTAAGGGTCATTTCCCAGTTTGCCAGTCTCCCTAAATGCAAGCATAACATGTAATTTAAGATCTTAGAAGTAATGAACTATGATGAAAATAACACACACACACCCCCACACAAGTATATGACTGAAAAATCAAATACGCATGTACTAGACCTAATGAATACATATGTAAAAGACGCAAGAAAAATGCAGAGGAGCCCTGCACAGTAACGCAGGAGGATCTGAGAATATTAATACAGAATATGTGAACAAGTGACGTTATGCAGAAACTTGACTCTCAATTGAAATGACAATCATTACCAATATATCATATTAATCATTCGATCAAATAATAAGTTGTGCCTAATTAATTAATGGTTATCTGCCAACGAAATATTTAATTTCTTAAATTAACAATTTTGTGTGTGTGTGTGTGTGTGTTCCGAGATCTAGTATTAGATTTCACTTCAGCTCACCATCTAATTCATGCTATAGAGTGCAACATATAATTGATCAAACATTAAGTACAAGAATGATAAATATAAAAGAGAGTTCAAATTATTTTATAAACATAAGATATCTAAATCCAATGGTCAAACATATGAAATTGAAAAAAGTCATTCCAAGTAAGCTACATCCATAACTTATAGAAATTTGTAAAAGAAATAAACATAAAGTAGTTTACATGTTACTCAAATACATTAGCTAAAAATCGAGTTTCAGTCCAGATTTGGAAGCATCAGAATTGTTTTATAGTTAGTGATAAACAACATATATAGGAAAAATATTGACAATAATAATAATAAAGACAAGAAGAAGCTGAGAGTAATAGATCGGGAGCATCTAGAAAAGGGTTCAAACCGAGATTCCCTTTGTTGAACGAATTGCTTAATTGGAGGCTGCCAATCATCAAAAGGCATAACTATTACGGAAAGTCCATACAACCACATACGTTGCCATCGCCTCTGTCCCACTTCCTTCAACCTTTCACACTCTCACAATTCAGACCCCACTTTACAATTATGAACCAAAAAATTATACCTTAAAAATTCCATATTTATCAATCACTATTATTTAAAACCTATATATCATGCAGAGATTAAGCGTGTATCCAAGGATATATACTGCTATACATACATGACTCCATCTTCAAATTAGGAATAAACATACATGAACGTCTGTGTCAGTGATCAGTTCAGTACTCCCTGGGTTAATTTGCTGATTTACTTAAATGAATAAATGAAAAAATGGTTGGTGAAAACATTAGGAAGAAAATGATTATAAATAAAGAAAAAGTGAATAGCACGCAAGGGATCGAATTTTGGGAGGGAGGCAAAGAATAAATGAGAGGGTGATTATAAGGAAAATCCTACGGGTTAAGAAAAAACAGGAAGAAATGAAAAAGCGAAAGGGAATTCTTTTAAGAAGGACACATAATGCACAGTGGTATAAGACCAACTTTGAGTGTTTGACCAAAAAGGTTAGACCTCCTTGGAGGAGACAATTAGAGATTACAGTGTGTCGTCTCAGATGTGTTATTGATACTGACAACAAACTCAACTTTCTTTCTTTCTTTCTTTTTTTTTTTGTGTATATAAATATAGGACGGCTACCTTATGAGTTGTTCCTCCTCATATTTTCCCTTTTTCTTATGTTGTTGCCCACTCTCCCTCGTTTTACTCTTCTCTTCATCATTCTTTGCTACTTTCAAACCTCACTCTATCTATCTATACAAAATTCTCTCCCTCTCTCTCTCTCTCTCGTTTCTGGAGTTCAAATTATATATATATTAAAAAGAAATAAAGGGGGGAAATATCCCCAGCCCCAAAGTGAGAGAAAGACAGACATTCCAGTTGTATCTTGTTGCTTTTGAGGAATGTAATTTTATGCGTTCCCAAAGTTTATTTTACTCATAATTGTCCCATTTGTTTTTAGCATTTGTGCAGTATAATATAATATGTACAGGGTTCAAATCTTCACATATTTAAAATATGGGTCCGGGCGATGTTTATTATTCGACACATTTGCATGCATGCATGGAAGCATATCCGTCCACAACACCCACGTGGCAACTTGATTGATGTTATAATTATCATCATTCACTATTAAACTAATTAAGTATTTTGTTGACAGATTTTCTGGTGAACCAAAAAAAAAAAAAAACCTTCATCAGTATATACTTCAGAACAATTCAAGCATCTTTCTGTAACATAACTTGACTTTCATTTTTTTTTTCCAAAGAGTACTCTAGAAATATTTAAATTTATCAAGTCGGCCCATAATTAATTTCTGCGCGGTGCTAATTAAATTAAGAGAGAATGATTCAAAGGATTGCAAATGTATGCAAAAAGCTAACATTTTGTCTTCCCATCCGGAATTCGAGGCTGTCTTCACCGATTTTTTTCCCCCAAAAAAATGTGAGGATAGTGTAGCGGTCAGATGAGATTTCGTTCATTGCTATTATTTTTACAAAAAAAGATAAATTCTCCCATATAGAGATAGCTTAGGCAGCAGGAAAAGAGAAGGAAACGACTAAGTTTATCCACCGGTGCCTTCCTTTTTAACGTGTGCTTGGTTTTAAGTTTATATCTGACAAGAACATATTTAAAGGGTTCAATTATTTATTCAATTTAATAAAATATATCTCAAATATGATTTGAATGTATTTTTAAGAGTTATTCAAACAAGCTATTAGTCTTCCTCTCATATTTACATAAAGGAAGTTTTTATTTTTATTTTTTAATTTTATATTTATTTTCAAAAATTTACGTGCTCATGGAAGAGGAGAAGAGAATGCTAGGAAAACTCAAGTTGGAGGAAGACAAGGCAGGTGGGGGTCCCAGCAAATGGAAGTTGGGAGCCACGTAAGAGTAAGATGATGATTAAGGAGAGGGATTGCATGGAAGAGCATGAATTAGAGGGCATGCTGCACGCACTCGATAATTAAGCAAATCCAGTTGGGAGTTTGGAGCTCAAGTGAAGAAGGCATAAGATTCAGCCTAATAATGACTGGATGAGTGCGTCAGTTGCTTCACACACACGGCAAGCGCGTGAGAGGGACGTGCCAGCCTTAGGTGAGAGAGAGAGGGGTGGCGTGTGGGAATGATGAACGTAGCGCCAAGTGTGTTGGGGGAATCGCAGTTTTACAAAGCCAATGGAGAGAGAGAGAGAGAGAGAGAGTCAGGTCAGGAGGAGCATCTTTTGGAAAGCGGTGGTCGTCCCGTTTTGTCCAATTGTGCTTCACCAATCTCTATACGATTCGATCCAATGGGGTCAATATTCCTTCGTACTTTGTTCGCCTTTCGCTATTATTATCATCCTGCCCCAGCCCCCACCACCCATTATTTATTTTATTTTTTTCCTCATATGTTTTTGAACTCCATTGGAGTTTTCATGTTGGAGGTGCACGACACTGCCACAAGAACAAGCTCTGTCTTTGATGATTGCTTCCCCACCTTTTCTCCCCCTCCCTGTCTTTCGCTTTTTTCTTCTTCCTCTCATCCAAATATCCATACACTCACACCAGCGGATCTTCAAATCTTGCAATCTATCTATGCTTACTCTGCTAGCTGCTAATACTATTCCAACAAGCAACTGATATATGGGACCATCACTTCATGACGAACCGAGCCCTCTTATATATATGCTTCACGTGACCCCACGGTACGATCCGTCGTCAGATGCGACTGACTATAATTGCTCGCTTCGGATTCTATAGCATTGTGAGAATTTGCAATGTAACAAGTGTGGGAATGTTAGGGAGGAATATGAAGTGCGGTCATTGGATATGCATGCCCCACACAACACATCCATAAAAGTGCGCGACACACAAATCAAAACCTCGCCCCTCACCTAGTTTATTTTCCTTTTATAATCAAGGAATATATAGATATATAGTAGTAGTTAAAGCAGATACACATAGCAGCTCTCTATGTCCATGTACGTTCACGGCTAACTAATGAATGTGAAGCTGAAAATGAGGATAATAACTGACATGTATGGAGAGGGTTTATTACTGGGAGCGTTACGACAATTATTGCAGTGTGGTTTTGGTTTGGGCAGAGGGACAGGGACAGGGACAGGGGTTTTGATGAAGGAATTGGGTTTGAGGGCTAGAAAAAAGCCTCGTGATCGGGGAAGGCGGATCCTTGAAACACTGTTGCCTCTCGGTCACGTGGCCTCTTTTGACTACCCCGATGACCACGTTAAATTAAATACAATCCCTCTCATTGTTTAGTGTACGTTTGTTTATACATTTACTCCTGCTCCTCTTGTTGTCTTGTGTATAAATTCAAATCCATAACTCCAACACTCCCTCGTAGCCTCATACCCTACCCTACCACCAAGTCCCCTCTCCCACTGCATCTCTTGCTCTCACCTCTTTCATTCTATTCCTTACTTCCGAAGCCACTCTTTTTCTCCTCTTTCCAACTATTTCTTTTGGGTCCCTCCCTCCCTCGTCTTTTTAATCCCTCGGTCTCTCTGTTTTCAATTCACCCTTCACAACGTGGACTCCACAGTTGCTGCTGACCGGCATATTATATATATATACCCCGCCATTTTATTTGCTCGTCAAGCTCCTCACCCAACAATATCATCATCATTGTAATTCTCGTTCTCTGTTCTCCTTTCTCATCCATTGAGTTCTTTACCCAGCCCCGTCATATTCTTTCTTCTCTGCCCCTTCGATCTCTTCATTTCACCAATCTCGTTCCAGAGGGGTGTTGGTAGAAACAGGGAGCGAGTCGTAGATTACAAGAAGCTAGCAGTGATGTCTGGTTGCGGCAGCTACGAGGGGCACGTGATGGGAGCGTGCGCGTGTGGCATGTTTCACGGCCAACCAAATTCCTTCCCTGTTCCATACACCAACCAAAATTCCTATGCCTGTGACTACGACGAATCCGACGTGTACTCTTCCTACACGCCCTCCTCCTCTTCCGTAGACTGCACGCTCTCTCTCGGAACCCCTTCCACGCGTTTAACTCAGGACGAAGACAGGCGTGGCGGCCGCGGCGAACGACGTCGTTCCGTCTCCAACATGTGCTGGGATTTGTTACAGTCCAATCAATCCCACAGTAGCAAGTCTGGCAAAGGAAGCTCCTCCTCCAGCGATCCCCTTCTCGCCCGTCGCTGTGCCAATTGCGACACCACCTCCACGCCTCTCTGGAGAAATGGCCCGAGAGGTCCAAAGGTACTTACTTGTCTGATGATATTCTTCGAGTCGTTGATTAATTATTCCTTTGGGTTTCCCTTTCCTATTCTTATTCTTTTCATGCTCTGCAATCTGCATTAAAAGAATTAACGTTCTTTTCTTAAATGCCAGTCACTGTGCAATGCCTGTGGGATCAGATACAAGAAGGAAGAGAGGAAAGCCGCCGCGGCCACGGCTTCGGTGTCGAGCGGCGTTATGGAGTCTCAGGCGATGTACGGCCAGCAAGACAATTACTGGTACGCGCAGTCGTACTCACAGGACGGGGAATGCCGTGTTACTCGCAAGGGATGGTGGAAGACAGCAATGAAGACTCCGACAACGGCATGCCTTTCGTCTCGTGGAGACTCAACGTATCAGACAGGCCGAGCCTTGTCCATGACTTTACAAGATGAACAATTAAAAGCTAATTGTAACAGGAGCACCACTTTTACTAGAAACTAGAAATGACAAGAGGATCTAGTTACTAGTTGGACGATGGTCAAGATCACGCAGGTCTACGTCAACGTTTTACGATGATGATGTAGATTGTTGAAGACGTTTTTGATGGCGATGGTTATGGTGTCTTCAAATTTTTCCCCTTTTGTTTCCCTTATGTTTGATTTTTGACCGTTCCCCTTTTCTGCTTGCTTCTTCTCTCTCCGTCTCGCACATAAGATGGAGTTAGAATGGGACACCTATGCTATTAGTTACTTTGCTTTTTTTCTTTTGAGTTCGTTCTTCGGTCAATCAATTACATATATATAGACCTCCTTTTCTGTTTGCTTCACTTTCCTTTCTTGTTTCCCAATATTTATTCATTTTGAAAATTAAACCATTGATGAACAATGTCATATATATATATATATATATAATTTATGTGGACCTCTTGTTCAGTTCAAGTAAAGGCATATTATATATACAACAGCTTGCATTCCATGTGTGGAAAAGAAACATGGTCGATTTCATTCGTTTTCATTTTCCTGAATTCCACACGGCAGACATGGACCTTCAACGCAGAGTGAAGGATATAAATGGAGAAATTAATTTGTTGTCATTGATTCTGCTATAGAGTAAAATAATTGTTTTTCTCGACCAATGAATTAGTGATCATATATAATGTATTGGATCGGATCAAACTGCAGTGTCTGAACCGGACACTGTGCGGTTCAGAACAGTAAAAAAACTGAACTGTCTTTTTGGACTGCACCATCGAATCTAACAGTTCAAAGGAGCAAGAAATGCGTATAGCTAGGCTGAGAGAAGTGAGAACTGATATGGTGGGGCAACTTTTATCATAGATATCCAACCTAACATGATTACTGATCTTTCTTTTCTGATAGTTTTAACTGCATATTTCTATAATATATTAATGGTATATTCACGATGATCAACAACTTTTAACTTTTTTTTCTCACTTGTATGGAGATTTTAATGTCGTATCCTCCTCGTGGCTCCTTGTTTATTTCATCATAGGATTACGAAATTTGGTTTCGGTACTTGATGAGACGGTGGTAGGACAACGACTTTGCTAGAATTGATCGAAATATTCTCAAATAAAACCACAAACATCCATATGGTTCGTTCAACTTTTATTTGTTTAACTACCTTGTTACTTTGAAACTTTTAACGTTGAATATGAGAGACTTGGATATGAAGCAGACTCTGGTCGATGGTAGTTTGGTTTCAATGCAAATTAAGAATGTTTCCAGTTTCCTATATCTCTCGGAAAAGTTTTGACGATACTTGGGCCCTGTAAGCCAATGACGTAGCTCTAATTGATTACAAATATAATCCGCAAGAGACTAATATAATGTGTTTACTTATACTGTCATTTATTTCTATCATAGGGTACCTTTTAAATAAATGATTTTTTTGGTTTTTAATATAAAGTACATGAAAGATTATTTATTACCATGTTTTTAATTTTACCCTATTGTAAATTTAATTTTATGACTTATTGTATATTGTGTATATCATTTTATAAGCTCACTATCATTTCTTGGTTCCTGAGAAGTATTGCTTAAAAGTGTTTTATGATAAGGATCGCAAAAAGTACATAATCCCAAAGCTCTAAGTATGTTTTAATTTGATGGATAATCATATGTTTTTAAAAATTCTTGTGGATAAGTTTTTAACATAAAAGTATACTAATAATGGTTTAAATCATGAAACAAATAACTTATAATTTTTCAAAAATAAAACTTTTCTGTTCAGTCTTTTAATGAAAGCATTGTTTCTTTAAAAATTAGAGAGGAATTAATATAATGGGCTACTTATTTAAGATAACACCGATTATTGATCGTCAACCAAACGTCGACAAAACTCCTTCTATTTTTGGTTTCAACGCTTCAAATAATTGAAACTCACGTATTTTTGTTTGGAATTTTATCACTGTAGATCAAGAATGCGTGCAGATTAATGTCATTAATTATTCTTTGTGCTATGTTGGTTTCATTTAGTTACCATGCATTCCAGCCACTACTTTAAATCACTTTTATGGGGGGGAAATTGTCATTGATGGGGTTTAAGAAGACAATAGTCCAAAAATTCAACATCACTACAATGAACCATAAGTTGTGAAGCATATCTCATATTTATTATATCATTGTATCATCATATGTTTATTATATCTCATATTTGTCATATCATTATATGTTTTAATGAAAGTTTATGTGAGGAGTTATAACTTATAAGTGCATGTTCTTATAATACCTGAAAACATCTTTGAAAGAATATTATAGAACCAAAAAGAGTGTATGGCAAAAAAGAATTGTTAATTTACTGGCAGGGGTTGTAATTAAATATGCTAACTTAGCCAGTAGTTGATTTTGAACATTGAATATGCATGCAATTGTTAACCAATGTTTGGGTTTGAACATTAAATATATGCATGTAATTATATTAAATATTTGTTGAGAGAGCTTTGTTGTCATTGTGATCCTTCCCGTTAACTCAGATTAGTCAGGATCCAATGTGACCATCAAATACTGGGTGGTTTGATTGAAAAAAAAAAAAACAGAAGTGTTAATTTATGAAAATCCTTTATTTGCTTAATTAGAATGGCATTATGCTTCATGGATAAATTAATTTAGTTCAAGAGACATCACTTTATTGCCTATAAATAGAACTTACCACCACTCCACTCACGAGCACAAACTCATTGTCTCTACCGTCAAGTGTAGTACAAAAGATGGAGACAAATCTCGCATTTTATAAACTATATTCCTTTCACTAAAAAATATAATCCATTTTTTTAAAATAAAATGTTTAAAAATATAAAATATTTTGAGTTTTTCAAGATATAATTAATGAGATTTTTTCAAAAGTACCTTTAATCAAGGGTGTAATTGATAAGGTTTTTTTAGTTAAAATACTCTATTAAATAGAAGTAAATATAAAAAGAGTACTCCCTTTATTTAATAATGTAAGCATTTTTAATCGAATCTTATCCTCAATAAAGTAGTTACCTACTTTCAAACTAGCCTATCTTTTCATATTTACCCTTATTAAATGTCTATAATAAATATAAAGTTATTCATCAATAGAGGTGCCTTTGAACAAAAGGCAATAATTACATATCAAAAGATTAAAATTTTTTTACATTTTTTAACATCCAACTTATCAAAAAATATTTTACATTTTTTAACGGAGAGAGTATGTAATTTTAAATACAATTAACTAACTCATTGAAAAATGTGATTCAAATAAAAATGCCTTATAATATTGAATACAGGGAGTAGTTGTTTTCACTTGAATTTTGGAAATGAGCTTGCAATTACACTCCTTCCATCCCAAATTATCAAACAATTTGAGACAATATTATGTACATTAATAAAACTCAATAATAACACTTTACAAATATACTTTTTTAGAAAAACAAAAATATAAAATTTAAAAAATATTACTTATTTAATATAACTTTAAATCTACAAACTTAATCATTATTTCCTCTGTTTAATATTATAAAACATTTTTGACCACATCACACCTTTTAATAAGTTATTTAATTGTGTTTAAAATTACATATTCTTTACATGTTTACCTCTATTTGATAAGATGTCTCAACTAAAAAAACCTTATTAATTATACAATTGATATAAGGTATTTAAAAAAAATCTCATTAATTGCACATTAAAAGATTCAAAATGTCTTATATTTTTTAACATCTTACTTTAAAAAAATGCCTAGAGGAGTATTTTTGAATGGATGGGTTAGACTACAATCATTTCATTTTTCTCTTTAGTTGAATGGTAATATTAAAAAAAATATCATCAATAATAAAATACTTTTAAAGTTATTTTATAACTTAGGATGAAAGGATCGAAGTACTTAAAAATTTCATTTTACTTTAAAGAAAATTCACAATCAATTCAATTTACATACGAAGTTTGAATTAGATAGAGCTTAATAAACATGAAATAACATTATCCACACTCCATCTAGAGACTTAACGCACAACTCCCTTTTTCTTATATATCTAGATGCTTTTAAAGTAAAATCACTCAAGCGCCATTGAAGAATATTACTCATAGACAATGACTAATAACAATCATTCAAGAAAAAGAAAAAGGTCTATGTTCTCACTTTAATAACAATTAATTTTACATTTATTTTTGTTTGTGAATTATATTTTTCAATGTTCCTTGTGTGCGAATTTCCTTACTTTTTCTTTATTAATATCATAATTCCAGAGGTGTGGAGAATAATATAAAACTACAAGAGTTTATCATATTAAAATTGACAAAGATATACTAAATGTCAACGTCACGGAGGCAAGTGAATGTTCCTAGCGGCAAAGTGATGGAGCTGATCTGGAGAAGGTTAGACCGAATGGCTGATCAAAACCGAAACAACATTGTACGTGACGACGGAATGCAGAATCCTCACAATAAATAATATAAAAAAAAATTGGGGAATAAGATAGCGTGCAAGAGAACTGTATAATCCTTTGATTAGATTTCATTAACTTTTTCTGCCACTCTAACACGTGCTTTGAACTTAATTTCTCGCATGTAGTCGTTCATCAATAAGATCTCATCCACGTGCCCTACCACGTGTTCCCCTACCACCCGTCCCTTGTACCATTGATTTTCACCCAAAAAAAAAATATTTTTGAGATGTTATTACTTATTTTTCTTGAATATTCTGTTTTAACTCTTTTTCTTAATAACATATTGTGTTTTAAACTCTTAGTTTATTATATGGATTAAAAAGGAAAAGTATGATGACCTAAGGATCGAATCCCTCTTAAGTTAGTTGCATTATCTAAAGTTTTGTGAATTTTAGACAATATTAGCTGCTGATTAAACTAACTTTCATGATCGAGTTACTTAATAAAAGAAGTGGTGCTTTAATTGCTTGAGTTATTGAGTGATTTCAATGCAATATTAGTTGGTAACCCCTTAAAAACTCCCTAATTTTTTATGACATGGCAATTTTTTGCTACTTAATTTAATCAACGGTTAATATTATTATCTCAAATTTACAAACCTTAGACAACCAATTTTGATCCAGGATTATAATTATGTCTTCTGGAGAATTGATTGTCAGGTTAGTTAAGAATACTCCTTCAATCTTTTAATTAATATCGGTTACTTTTAACTATCTTACGCATTTTAGAAAGGGTCAAAACTCAGAAGTTGGTTAAATAATTTAATTTTTCAAATTCTATTATTTTTTACCATTTCCCTTAATACTATTTAAACTAAATTCCTTTATCATACTCCTTTCGTTTTTATATATAAGATATTTTTAACCAAATCCCACATACCAACAAAGGTTTGTTATTTAGTTAAACTCACATAAAAACATAATAATTTTTTAATTTTATCCCTAATAATATCATAATTAATATCACAATGGTGATAGAAAAATATATAATTAATGATCTATTTCATTTTTCAAGATAAGGATAAAATTATCTAATTACTTAAAAATATCATTATCACTTCTTATATTTAGGGACAAAATAAGTTTCTAAAAAACATCTTATATATATAGGGACGAAGGTAGTATTAATTACTTTGATTGCAAACTAAGATCTAGCCTAAATGACAAGATAATACTTCATCAGTTTCAAATTATAAAATAATTTAAAACAAGATTACGCATACCAATAAAACATAATAATGACACTTTACAAACTTATTTTTTAAAACAAAACTATAATATCATTTTAATTTTCTCTCCATTTAAAAGGTAATTGATGGAATATGACATAATGAGTAATTAAAATAATTAAAATTTATTTAAGATATTAGGATTATCTATTAGGGATATCTAAATAAGGATTTTATCAATTAGCATTAAGATTTACTCCTATGACTCTATTTAGAAGTTACTTCCAACATATTTTACCAGAACTAAGAAAAATCTTAAAACTCATTTAACTCTGTCTTGAAATTTAATAAATTTTTAACTTTACTCCTATTAAATATACATACTTTAATAATATATTTTCTCTTCTCAACATTTAATGGAGGGTAAAAGAAAAAATTCATGTTAAAAATTTAATGACGTGACTTATAAAAAAATATTTTCTCTCTATTCTATAAATAGGATTAGAGGGAGTATTATTTTATTTTATTGTTTTCTTATATTTATTTATATTCAATAACATAGGATATTATTATCATATCAATATCTTTTTAAATTAGATTTATGATTTATATTTAAATTTACTATTTTATTATTCTTAAAAAACTTCGGCCTTCCCCTTATTTCTTTCTCTCCCACCTCCTTTCTATTTCTCTCTCTTCTCTTCCCCTTTCCAGTTTCATTGAGTAAATTATTGATCATAGGAGGATTTGAGGACACAATCTCTCAGATCTCACAATATTATGACGCCACCACTACCATTGAACGCTCATGTAAAGTGTTATATATATATATATATATATAAAGAATTTCATGTCTATTATTAAAAAATATTAGTAGTCAATGACCTTTGTGTCTTATTGTGATTTCCTCTTGCCCCGTTATTATTGACATCTGTCTCATTTTAAATAATTGGTGTTGTATATAACTTGTACATTAATTTTATCATGAACTTATTTCTCTTCAAATTATTTCAGTTGTCAATACCCTTTGCACTATTGTTATCTCTACAAAGGATTTTGAAGTGATTTTCCCATAGCAAGGACTAAAGGCGTACATGTGTATTTTTTTTTTTTTTGTTCACGTATGTCCTTTTATTTGAAAAAATTTAAATGAAGGTGGAAAAATATTGATTCATGAAAATACAAAATCTGAAGTAGAGGAACTACTCAGTTTGCTAAAATGAAAAGGTCAAGTGGTTTGCCAATGGGAGTGGCTTGTTTGAAATCCATCTTCAGAAGCATAGCTTTCCACTCTGCGACAAGCGATAACAACCCTGCACCAAACGAAACCCCACTTTCTCTGAGTTTAAAAACACACTCAATCACTCTCTCTTCTAAACATAATCTTCTTCCCTTCACACACACAGCTAGCTCTCAAGGCAAGTGATCTTCGTCAGAGAGGAATTAAAACATGGTAAACCTCGTAGCAGCACAGAGACCATTATTGCATGGGCTGATGAAGATGGCCGGCATAGCACCCTACACGGTGGAGATAGAGCCAGGCACGGTCATGACCTTCTGGGTTCCCGCCAACACCATCTCTAAGCCCAAAAAGTCCCATGAAACACCCCAAGTCATCGCCAAGCCCGCCAAACCAGTGGTAGTGCTGGTTCACGGTTTCGCGGCGGAGGGAATAGTGACGTGGCAGTTCCAGGTGGGTGCACTGACAAAAAAATACGCGGTTTACGTGCCGGACCTGCTGTTCTTCGGGGGATCGAGGACGGATAAGCCGGACCGGTCGCCGGGGTTTCAAGCGGAGTGTTTGGTGAGAGCGTTAAGGAAGCTTGGGGTGGAGGAGTGTGTGGTGGTCGGGTTTAGCTATGGAGGGATGGTGGGGTTTAAGATGGCGGAGACGTGGCCGGAGATGGTGAGAGGGATGGTGATATCGGGTTCCATTTTGGCCATGACGGATTCGATCAGTGAAAGCACGTTGAAGGAGCTTGGTTTCTCGTCGTCGTCGGAGCTCTTGTTGCCTACTTCCGTCAAGGGACTCAAGGCGCTCTTGTCTGTAGCTACTTACAAGAAGCTCTGGTTCCCTGATCGCCTCCATAAAGACTTTCTTGAGGTCCTCACTTCACTCCTCCCTACTCACCACTTTTTTTAATCACAAATAGATAACTCATTATCTCATTTACAGACCCTAACGAGCCTGTTTCTTGTGCTCATCACGCTAATGAGTCCAGATTTAAACTTTTTTTATTTTTATTTATTAAAATAAAATTATAAAATTTGTAATAAATTTATTTTTCATCAGAATAGTAACATTTAATTTGAATGGTCAGTTAAACATTAAAACTAAAGATAATCTCTAAACTAGCATTTTCAAAAAGAAAATATTCTTTAAAAAAACATTGCAAGTTCAAAATTTTAAATTTATATTATCCAAAGTATATTTAGATTCAGATTAAATATGTATTATTCATACCGGTGATAAAATAAATTTATTGACATTTTTATAATTTTTATTTTAATAAAAATAAAAGAAACCTTTAAATTTAGACTGTCCAAATTAAAATCTAAACAGTCCAAATCTCATCAACTTGATAAGCACAGCCTAATGAGCATTGTAATTGGTTCCCTCATTTGCATTTTACATACTACTCCCTCCATCTCAAATTATAATCTCAAATTATAGGATATTTTTAAAAGAGTTTCTTCGTTCCAAAATATAAAACACTTTATATAGATTAAGGTTTTATTAAATACACTAATTTTAATATTATCCTTTCTCTCTCTATAATTAATTTATGTCCATTCTCAATATATTAAATGATGAATATTTTAAAAAATTTATATTTTTATTTTTAAAAGATAAAGTTGTTATGTATATTTAATAAGGTTTATTAATAAGTGAGATTTTATTTGGGACAAGTGGATTATTTGATATGGGAATGAATTTAGCACTTGATGAGATTTGAACTATCTATATGACTTAATCTAAACAGATCAAATTTAAAATTTAAAATTTATATTTTATATTTTTATTTTAGATTTATTAAAATAAAATTATAAAAAAATTAAATAAAGATTTTTATTATCAACTAGACATTTAATTCAAATTGTCCAAATTTAATATTAATTTTTTTTATAATTTTATGAATTCACCATCTAAATTTATTCTGGACAGTTTATATTAAAACTTTAACTTTCAATTTTATCTTTTATTTTTTATTTTAATATTATGTGTTGAAATAAAAATTTAAAAAAATTATTAAAAAAATAAATATTAAATCTAGACTATTCAAACTACATTTGAATGAACAATTTATAAGAATTATAAAAATTTTAATATTAAATTAGACCATTCAAATTAAATCTACATCATTAATTAATGATAAACTATATATTAAAAATTTTATAAAAATATAAAATAAAATTAAAATATTTTAAATCTGGATAGGTTAAATACGGTGAGGGATCCATTTCATATGGTAATGGAATGACAATTTATATTTTCATTTATTATCTTTATTTTCTTAAAAAATTGTAATTAAAAAATGATTTTCTTTTTACATCATTGAAAAGTTTTAGCTCTGATTGGCTGGATACGCGTGTATTGGTAGGCGGTTAGGTAGATCATAATACATTTTTTTCCCCGCAAGTAGGTGGATCATAAACGGATCGTGAAAGTAAACTCTCGTTTCTAAGGGTCCTTTCAATTATTATTTTTTTTTTTTTTAAAGAAGAGGGGTTTTGTTTTGTTTTATTTTATTTTATTTGGTTGGGGGAATGGTTTTACGACAAGGTTTTAACTAGTTTTGGTTAGATGAACACACACATGTGCTAACTTTTTTCATTGCATATGTTTCACCTATTGCAGTCCCTCCATTATAAATTATAATAAGATATTTATAAATAAAATTTTATATTTTAATAAACTTCATTAAATACACTTAAAAAATTTTTTAAAAATAAAAATATAAACTTTCAAAAATATTCATAATTTAATATATTGAAAAGAGAAGGGACAAAAATTAATTATAAAAAAAGAGTAATATTAAAATTGATACATTTAATAAAATTTTAATCTACCCAAAATATCTTATATTTTGAAATGAAAAATTTTTTTAAAAATGTCATATAATTTAGGATAGAGAGAATGTTAACAACTAGATCAATTCAATTGTTTGAATCGTTAAACTAATGCATCGGTTCAATGATATACTTAACCTTTGATTTTGCAGAGGCACACAGATATATATGTATGTATATATATATATATATATCCATTTCTTTTGTTTGATGTTGTGATCTTCACAAATAAAGAAACGACAACATGCATATGGATGTAATTTTCTCTCTTTTAATCATTGATTGTTTCAAATGCGCATAAACTTGTGGGGTGGCCAAATGAGTTGTAGATATAAACGCTATACATTTGAACTGTGGGCCATACTATGCGTACCTATGTCCCATGTGATTCGAAATTATCAGAGAAAAAATGAGGAAAATGGAGGAAGAGAAGACTAAAATGGAATATATAGAAGCAAAAGCAAGGGAAATTGATTAGGTGAACTAACAATACCTAACTTCCTAAGAAACAGAAGTGTATGTTTAATTTGGTATGATCCTTAATCAATCCAAATTAAATGCTGACTTTTCTCCCTCAACAACCCAACCAGGTGATGTTCACAAACAGGAAAGAGAGAGGTGAGCTGTTGGAGGGCCTAGTCATAAGCAACAAAGACATGACTATTCCAAAATTTCCTCAGGTAATAGCTTTAATTATTAATTAAGAAGACATGCTGATCCTTTGATGCACTGGACTTGCACATGTAAGTTGAAGCCACCACTTTGCAGAGAATTCATCTTTTGTGGGGGGAGAATGATCAGATCTTCAAAGTGGAGCTGGCGCACAACATGAAAGAGTATGTATCTGTGCGTGTATTAATTAACACGAGTAAGCAATATGTAGTTAGTAACAGTGACGTGAATGACAGGCAAGTGGGGGAGAATGTAACGTTGGAAGGGATAAAGAAGGGAGGCCATCTGGTTCACTTGGAGAGACCCTGCGTCTACAACAGGTGCCTCAAGCAGTTCCTTTCTTCTCTCCAGCTTCCCTCTCCAAAATAATCCTTCAACTCTCTTCTACTGTGTCTGCTATTCTCTTCATGTACCTTTTTTTTATTGTAGTTCACTGGCTTAGCTTGTTTCCACTTATAATTCTATATTACTCCTCCAATTTCTATTATAAATGATAAAAACATACCCACGACTTTACATTGAATAAAAATCATTTAATTAAAACTAATCAATGCCTTCAATACTTCAAAATTACCCTTGAGAAAATGTACTGATTAATTAGAGGATGCTGTCTGATTAGTATGAATAATGTTATTTAATTTATTTGCTAATAAATATCAAAGCAAAATATATCTAGGAAAACAATTAATACTAGCTCACACCTTATATACTATAAGCAGCAGCAACTAAAATTTCTTGATTTTAAATATAAGAAAAAACTACTACAGTTAACAAAGTTTAAACACCTACTAACAGGGACATTTCAGGAAAAAAAGTTAATTCCAAATATAATTAAGAGAAATAACTAGCTTTCGTAAAAATTGTAACACACAAACACACGTTTTTGCTCATACTATGAGACCGAAGGGTGTTTTTTAAGACAAAAGGCCTTCTATTATTCTGCTTCTCTACCTGTCGTCCAATATATATTTCACCCTATAGCTATTGTATAGTACAATTAAAAAGGATAATGAGGTTAAAAAAGGAAAAAAAAACTGGAAAACTTGGGGGCATCATTCATTGGACAAAAGAAAAAAGAGGATCATCTAAAGGATGACTGAATCTCTTCCAAAGTTCTTCCTTTGGTTTCAGGGACCCAAATTGCCGCAAAAGCAACGGTGAAGGCAGATACCACTGCGTACACCGTGAAGGTTCCTGCAGTTAAAACACAACATTAACATATATATTCACAATCCCAGACGTAATTACACACACACACTCACATGGAAAAACAATAGCATAAATGTACTCCAAAAACACAAAACAGACCTCCACTGCTCCAAGTCAGAAGCAAGTTTGCCGTCATTGTGATCAGAAAGGAACATAGCCAATTCGCTAATGTGGCTACACTTCCTGCAAGTCCCTTTATATTTATTGGAAGGATCTGAAAAACATCATCCAAACAACCCTCAGCAGTTCCCTATACAAAAAATTCCTTCTCTCGGATTCAGAAAGAATTTCTCTATCAAAAATTCCTAAACTGGGACCAAAAATATCAGGCTACGTTTGAAAGTTGTGACAGGATAGATAGATTAAAAGAAGAAATTTCAAATTAAACAACTATTTATGATTCAACTTTATTATAAAGAAAGAGGGAAACAAATTCCACGAGCAAATTACATATAAATACTGGAAGGGGATTGACATCCCATACTATCAGAATGCAATAAAGCGTCCAAGTCAACTGGGGCACAATCTAAAAATTGATAATCACATTTCACACCAAGGCAGTCCTTTCTATTAACCTCTCTTGGGATGTGTTGGAACTTTAACTGCCAATTCCTCTCTCGAAAACTTCTAATCCTTGTTAAGACTGAACGAGCAGTTTTTCCTCTACTCTCAAAGTCATATATATTATTTTTGTATGGGTATTTTATGTCAATCGCTAGGTAATGTACTTGGTAGCCCAACTAACCCAAGTCAGGATGGTCATATTGGGTCGAACAAAAACTTGGATAGAAGTCAGCTGTGCGGGCCAGTTCAGCCCAATCCTACCAAGATTCGTTGAATATATTAACAAGTCATTTGATTGGATCTTTCATCTTTATATGAAATTTTAAAGAAAATACAATTTCACGGACACTCATATACAAAATTTTTTTTAGGGTAACATTATAACTAGATTTTCTGTGCGTGTAATGCATTTGATAAATAAAAGTAGTACCATAACAATTTTTTGACTGAAGAGCATATTAATTTGAATAATTATTTTGGTGAAGAATCAAAATTTATAATCAAATATGTATTAAAAAATAGAGAGAAAATAAAAAAATAATTATATGATACAGAGAGTCACTCAATGCATATAAATCATGAATAATATGGTCTGTGTGAGATTTTAATCGATTTATAGATATAAACTTAAAATAAATTTTGACCAAAATGTTAAAAATGGTCACCCACTCAAGCTGGCCGCCAGTCAGGACCAGCTTGGCCCAGTCAGATCCTGACCCCAAAATGATCAGCTAAGTCAGCTGGATAGGGCAAGCCTTACATTGGTCTGTGCTTGGCCTGCATTCTATCATCAAATAAAGACATAAAGTTGATGGCTTTATCATCTTCTCCTCTTCATTAATAATACCCAAACAATCCTCCTTTCTACCAAAAAAACAAAAAATATCCAAACAAGGTAAAAATTCAATAAAATCTTCACTTCCCCTTTCCTTGCCTCAACTATCCCAGATCCAAACATACCACCGGTCTAATTAAGAGCCCTGTGGTCTGGACGTTAGAGTAAATTACACTAACCTCTTCCAAAGTGTGTACGCACACGCAAATGTATATTTAATTTAATTCTTTTTTTTTTCATAAATACCTTCTATTAACATGCATGCAACACAAGTAAACCAAAAGAAAAAGGAAAGGAAAGGAAAGTGGGAAAAATGTTACCCCACAAGAAACTTTTGTTAAAAAAAAAAAAAAATCAAGTTATAATATAAGCTAACTTTTAATTCGAAGAAAAATTTGTATGCCTTTAGAATGAAAAATTTTCAATAATTTCAATAAAATTAAAGAAAATTTTGTTTAATTTACTCAGAAGCTTGTGTCTAAGAAACAGATACGTATCAATATTAAGAACTGATATAACAACAGGAAATTAATACACATTGTCTTTAAGTAAGAAGTAGTCCTCCAACTACTCATCCATCTTGAGCCTATTTTTTCTGGCCAAAAAGAAAAATCTTGAGTTTATTTGTCCCGAATAGCATAAATAATGAATATTTTAGCATACCTCGGACATGATAACCCATGGAATTGGTCCAAGTCCTAGAGAGAAGCCGATCACCATAGTCTGGACAGGAACAATTGATCAAACTGTTAAGCACTGAATTCACTAAAGGCAAGCGAAAAAAGGTATCAAGCCTAATGCACATAACTTACCACGAGACCAACAACAGATATTATTCCTAGATCGCTATATAGATGAGAATCCTCTGGTACATTTCCCTGGTATCAGTACATAACCAGTTATAAATAGAGCTAAGCTCCTGGCAGTTAATAACAAGCACCAACCTTCAAATAAAATGCTACTGCAACAAGAATGAGGCTCACTGTCATTGACGATGAGGATATCTGCAGAAGCAATAATAAATTTCGTATGTTGCATCTTTAAAATGACATATATAACATATGGTTGAATTTTGCTTGAACCATACTATTAGAAGCAGTCTCCGTCCACTTCTATCCACCAACCAAGTAGCGATTCCAGTCGCTATGACCTGAAAAGGAATTCTAATGATGAGACTTCAATTTTCCTTACTGCTATTTACTTGGAGTAAAAAAGTTATAGTATAGTGCATGTTATCTAAGACCACGAAAAAGTCCTTGGCTGTAGTACCTAACCTGTATAGCTCCAAGTCCAAATGTAGCAACATTGCTGGATGAAATTCCTGTTCAACAAGGAAGTCAAATGCCAAAAAAAGAAGGAAAGTAAAATCTTTGAGCTAGTAAAGCTGTCACTTCAAAATCTTAAATTATTTCCCTTTGCTGTTTGTTGAACCTGATCGAACAAACCAAATGTACCAATAACAGAAGTGAACTGGCTAGTTATATTCATTACACAGAAGTTGAAAACAGCTGAAGTTCAATTATATCTTAGACACATCATTATCACCATATAGAATTATGTTTGCCGTGGGAAAATAACAGATAATAAAGTGGAGATTATGTTCTCTTGGAAATGTATCTCTTCTCCAAAATCTTGGCATTTCAAAGATTCAAAATCTCTACATCTCCAAAATTATTCAAAAAACAAAAATAATACATAGAAAAATTTCATGAAAAAATAACTGAAAAATTAATAATTCGCAGGTAGATTCTACCTGCACTTTGAAAAATGATACTTGAATAGAACAATACTCCATTAATACCGCTCAGTTGCTGCAGCATAAGTAGTCCAATACCTACCTGCAGGCAATTAACTACCCAAAAAGTTTAGGTTTTAAATTTTTAAAATAAATAAAAATTGGACAAGCTTGGGAAGATAATTGGAGTAACTTCAGGATCAAAAGAAAAAACTCAAGCATACCATTAAAGGAAACCAATATCTTTTTCTCTTGAGATCAGCCAATCGAACAGTAACTCTTTTGCTAGTTGATGCCACAGATCTCTGTTAAAAAAAAAAAAAAAACACAGTTAGTGACGTATGGTTTTTTAAACACATTCTAGATCCGTACTTTAACCCTTATTTGCATACGCACTGTGTCACGTCAAAGGCTTGGCTCTTACTTAGATATAACAAGTAATGAATTAAATACCTTAATTTCATTTGCTTCCACAACAATATCCATGTCAAATCCTCGTAAAACTTGCAATGAAGTCTCAAATTCTTCTGTCATTCCCATCTTCGCCTGAATTTTCCAGAGTACCCCCCAAGCCAGAGAAAATAAAGAAAGAGGAATAAGTAATTGCTTAGTTTGCTCGTCTTCTGGAAAGAATGTATAAATTAACGAAATTGAAGGATGGAAAAATTCAATTAGTATAATGCATAACATGACATATGATTCATACCAACCATCTGGGTGATTCTGGTATGAAAAATAATCCAGGTATTAATATTATACAAGGCAAAGCACCTGTAATGAAAAAAGCATGTTTATTGTCATTCTTTTGGATTTATGCTCCCTTCAATACTTTGAATCACCGACTCAAGACATGATATTCTGTGAATTATTACGAAAACGATGAAAGAATTAAAGATATACTAGTAGTTTTAAGGCCCGTTTGTTTAAGATTAAAAAATAAGTGATTTTTAAGTAGTTTAGAAATTTTATAAAAAGAGATTTATTTTGTAGAAATTTTATAAAAAGCAAACATTATTTTATGTTTGGTTACAATAATTAAAAAACAATTATTATTTATTTATTTTTAAATTTTACAATATTTTCCTCGATTTTTGTTTTATAAAAAATAATTTATTATTATATTATTTTAAAATTTTATGATTTCTTCACATATCTTACCTTTTTAAAACACTCTCTCTCATCTATCACATTAAATTATTTTCAAAAACTATTCAAAGTAACTTTTTAAAATAGTCAAAAATATCTTTTTTTTTAATTCAGATTATTTTCAAAAGTTTAAACAATCATCATAAAAACCCACAAAATAACTTTTTTTAAAAAAATAAATGCTTTTTTCATGAAATAAGCTAAAACAAATGGGCCATAATGAACTACAAAACAGTTTGTCTTGTTTCATGAACTTCTTCTGGGAAAGGCAAACTCTCCAGCCTCCATTAATAAGTTTAGAACATTTCCAAGCCACGCCTCCAGCCTCCCCCTTTCCCCATCTAAATAAATAAACAAAAATATATTTAAACAGTATCCAATCAAATAACATGATAACATCCAACAGACCTTGTATATACAAATTATTCTTAAAATTTTCCCCACTTAAATGAACATGGTACTTTTATTTGTCTCTGACAAATGTTTCCCAGTACTCAGATTAATTCAATTGTTTTCCCCTCACAGAAGACCAACCAAATGAATATTTGGGAATTTACCAAGAACAGCAAGCGTTTCCCAGTTGACAAAAAGGCCTAATAGATATACCAACATTATTCCGATTGTAATGGAGAGCTGAAACAAAAAGAACAATGATGTGAATATCAATATCAAAATAGAAGAAGTCAAATAAACAACATTTTCTCAAGAAGCAGGATTTGGCTGACAAACCTGGTTAACAGATCCAAGGCCGCCTCTCATATTTTGAGGTGCTATCTCAGCTATATAAACAGGCACCTAAACGAGAACAAGGACCACAAGTACAGAACATTAGTTTCCCTAAGCTTTCGTATTATCCAACAAATGGAAAATAAAAGGTATGTCGAGAATTGAAGATTACCACGTAAGAGATTATCCCAACGCCAAACCCCTCCAACAATCTCCCCATAAACAGAAATGATGAGTCCTACAAAAGTAGGGGCGCATCTTATAAAGTAAGAAAGTTAGAGAGAGCAGGAATGACGATACAGATATAACAGAAAAAGTGACAATAACAAAAGACTACTTATGCAACCACTTACGTTGGCAAAAGAAATAGCGAGCCATCCTAGTATATTGGGGATTGCTGCAATCATTAGCGACTGCAATTCAACATGCCAAAGGTTCACTAATCACATTCCCAGTTGGCCTCCTTATAAGCGAACGCATACAAAAACATTATATACCCCTTTGCGCCCCATGAATTCTGATAACTGACCACTGGTTAGAGCTCCCACCATCGCACCCACATTGGACAAAGATCCGAATATTGAGAACTGTTCTCAATAATACATTCAACAAAACTGAGTATGATGATTAAAAACGAAAGGAAATGACATTGCTGAAATACGACTCAAACCTCCGAAATTGTAAGATTTAGGTCACGGATTATTTGCTCTTGCGTGGGAGAGGAATACCCACACTGTTATTGCATTAAAACAAACAAAAATTAACGAAATATTTCTCATGATCATTGATTCGATGGAAGTGATAAGTTATGGTACCGTGAAACCGAATTGAATAGGACCCAACGCTACGATGAGCACACAGAACAGAACGGAGACTGAACCTTCTCGCAGGGACTGAACAGAGGAGTCCATGACGCTGGACTGCCTCGAACCCATTTTGTACCAACTACCAGTATGACGGAAGGGCCGCCTGAGATCATCGGTGTCATCTCTCGAACTCATTGCTGCAACTTGGGGGGATCAAAGTCAAACGAACTCAAGGTTATAGGGAAGATCTTGAATTCTAAGCGTTTGTGAAAATTTCTCAGAGGCGGTGCAAAGGCGCCATTCATGATAGTAGGTTAGGAATGTTGAACTGAGGGCTGATAAGCAGAGAAACTCAATGCTTTGGAATTGAACTGTGTGTCAGAGGATCCGGTGATTTTGGAAAGCCGGATGGTTTTCCTCTTTCTCTGTTCTTGTCTATTTTTAGTCCTGCGTTGATCCAAGGCTCCATGTTACCCAGTCGCTTCCATTTACAAGTCATTCCCGGAATTTTTTTTGGTTGGAGCAAAAAAAAAAAATTTATTAACACGGTCTTAAAATTTAAAAAAAAAATTGAGAAAATATCAATAAAAAAACTATTAGAATATATTCATATCAGTGAAGGACAATAGATTCTAAAATTTTACAGCACTCCTTGATCTGAATTAATATTAATTTTTTTATTCAAAATGATGAAACTATCCTTAAAATATAAAATAATAAAAAAGGCACCTCCACTATTATCGACACCATTGCCAGAACCCCCGTCACCAACAGCTGATTAAAAAAAAAAATAACAAAAAGAAGAAGAAGAAGGGGCCGTGGGATTTTTGATCCCACTATCCCTTTTCCTAAAAAAAAAAAAAAAAAAATCGGATAGCTCAAAACATCTTTTTGTTTTTTCTCTTTTTTTTAATGAAAGTTAACAATTCATTCAAACTTAATAAACTCAATTAAAATAATAAAAATAGTTATAATTATATAAAATTTGTCACAAAATATTAAAAATCAATCATAATAATTCATAACAATCTCTAATAACAAAAAAATATCTTAATTACAATTAATAATAATATTCAAGTTGTAATTAATAACAATATTCAACGTACTTCAAAATATTTAAACTACATTACAACAAGCAAGTCTTAAGCTTTACATTCAATCATATTAAAAAATAAAAATAAAAATAATTATATTTAAATAATTTTATAAGATTAGACTAGACTAAATAATTTAAAAGTGCAGCCTCATATCTAGTTTAGCCTAAAAAAAAAGTCTAATTTTATTAATCATTTTAATTCTTCGAGTCAATTTTTTTTATAGAATCGAGCAAGACCAATTTTGCTTTAGTTGAGTTGAGTTTGACAAAAAACCTGAACTTTTGCATGGCCAAAATCTTTTCAGTCAATTTTGGCACTAAACATAACAAATTGATTTAAAAGATATTTACCTTCGCGCCTGATCATTTTAATAAGGTTTAGTTTATGCTTGTAAGAAATTACCATTAAAGCCACCAATGAGTAACTCTTCATACTTTGTCTGAATTGAAAGAAAATATGAAAAAAAAAATGGGAAAAGAGAGAGAGAGAGAGAGAGAGAGAAGATAATATTTCTCCCAGAAGAAAATAAAGTATAAAACCGACAACATTTTCCACCCAAGTTTTCTCCCCCACAAAGTGAAAAAATTTCATTCCCTGTCCAGCCTACACCCTCCTGCTTCATTGTATATCTTATTCTTCAGCTCAAGAGCATTACGTCATCATATTCTACCCTCCATTCTTCGCCTCAGTGCTCTGACTCAGCATCTCTGGCTTAAAAATTAATGTTGCTTTGTCTCACAGTGTTGTGGTTACCTCCGTCTTCTGCAAATCTCACCATATAATGATGATGAGGGTGGTGATTCTGTTAAACTCTTTTCCTGCCATTAGACTTTGTTCAAATAAGCATATTTTCTTTAGGGTTGGGAACATAGACTTTGTTCAAAAGTAAAGATGCAAGGTCGGAACTAAAGACGCAAAGAGCACCTGAACCTAAATCCAACAAAACCATAAAACCCAAAACTTAAAAAAGCCACATGAAGAAGAAATATTAGGATGATAACATGAAAAGGAAATGATGAAGGACGAGGGGAGGGATCATATAAGCAGGGGGAGATGAGATGATGGAGGGAGACAAAGCATGGTGTGGGTATCCAATATTCGTTTTTAAATCCAGACTGATTGTTGTGATGCTAACCTATTATTATCTTTCAATTCCCGTAACAACTCCCTCCTCTCAATTAATCCATATTATCAGTAAATTGAAAAGCAGGAAAAAAAAAAAATCCAAACCAGAACAACCCTAAAGAACGATGACGACAGTGTGAGGGGGAAAGAGCAGTAGCAACAGAACAAAATCTGAAAAATAATTGAGACCTGTAGACTGGAGGTTGGAGAAGCACTGCACGGGACAAACACTGGTGGCATTACCTACCCCTTTTATCATCCACAGCTTCAATATGTCGCCATCTTCTTCCCTATAAACTCAAAAAATTTGAACAAGAGAAAGAATTTGAATGTGGGCAGACATTGAAAACAAAAAAAAAAACAAAAACAAAAAAAGGAAGAAGTGCGGAGCAGAAGAGGAAGCAAAAAAGAACATTGGAGAAATTGCAGGCGGTAGAGTAAAGAACGCAAAAAGTTAAAAATCGAACGCGAAACTTGCCGCCTGTGACACAGGCCCAACTAATTTGAAATGTAACAATGATACATTACCTTACGCTAAGCCCACTCCACTAAATTCAAATTGAGCCTCATCCATTTAAAATAAGGCTTGGAAAAGTCTGCAAAATTCTATTACAATCAAGTGGAGTTGGCACTGGCACGATAATTAACAACCCTAATGCAAAATAAATACTGTTTATCCAACTGTTGAACTACAGTAAAACGAACGGATTTTACAACATAAACTGGACTAGATAATATTTTAATGAATTCCTTTTTGAAAAAATAGACAAATATGTTATAAAATTTTATTTGAGAGACATAAAAGAGAAAAAAAAATCAATTAAAAACTTTCTAACCACGATTCCCATTTTTTTAAAATTGAGGTTACCAAAATTTAAAATCCCACCTTCCAATCATTTTTTTATCTAAACAAATCATAAAAACTAATAGAAGTTAAATTATGAACAAATATTAATTTGATAATTTTATAAACATAATAGTTTATAGAAAGTGTGAAATAAAATTGTATATGTGGTTATAGATAAATAATTATAATAATAAAAATCAACTATATCCAGCATATTTGTGATTAAAAGATATAATAAAACAATAACTTGTTTTTTCATAAAATTTGTTATCCCATAAATAATCAAGTATAGACAATAATTTATTTTAAGTTATAAATTTTTATATCTATGTAAATTAAAATTCTAAAACATATAATAATCAAAAAAATTATAAAATATGTATCTTGTTTTAGAATATATTTTTTTAAATTGTATGAACATCTTATTTTATTTTAGTATTGGCTATATATAACAAAAGGAGGATAAAAATTATTCCTCATTAAGAAAGATATTCACATTTAATACTCGATTGTATCTTGAATAGAATTACTTTCAATAGAAAAATACTTATTAGCAATAAAAAAATAAATAACAATTTTTTTTATTCTTGCACAAAATATTTTAAAATATGATATCATGTGCATATAAAAAATATAAACATTTTTTATATATGATCTCCACATAAATTAAAATTTAAAAATTATATTCTAATTAAAAGTTATTTACTTTTGAATATAAATAACCACTTATATTATTTAAGACTTTATTATGCTTGTGCACATAAAAAATGTAAATAAAACACTTTTTTTATATGATTACCTAATTAAGTCAAATTTGAGTATTGTTCAACACAATTTAAAATAGCTCTTTCAAAAATAATTTTTACATCCACAGAATTTTTTATTATAGAATTATTCACCTTTTTATCAACTTATTTTGTTATATAACTTGTCATTTTGTATATATTAAAAATATAAATGATATTTTATAAACAAAATTTATTACCATTACACTATGTTATTAAAATTTTAAAATTAAAAATTAAATTATAACATACACAAACAAATAATATATTAAAAATACTATCATCCAATATAGATTATAACTCATTATACTTTATAATTTGTTATGTAATGCATATTTAAAAGGGGATGATAAAATTTATTTCAATAACAATTTAATCCTTCAAGTTCACCTCAATAACAATTTAGTTTTTTAAGTTTGCCTCAATAATAATTTAGTTTTTCAAATTTATTATTTGAAAAAGAGGTAACACATTGTTAAGATTTACCAACATAGATAAAAATATTAAATTGATAGCCACGTAAATTAATGATAAAATTAAATTGACTTGAAAGCAAATTTGTTCTCATTTAATCATATGTAATATGTTAAATTATCAATATACTTTATACGTCAATTAATTTAAGGGTCAATTTTTGTTTCAAAACCTAAAAAGTTAAAGTAACAATTTAAAAAAACATAAGAAATTACATTGATAAAAATTAAAATAAAAAAATAAATTAATAATTAAGAAAATTTGAGGGACTTACAGTTTCATTTTCCTTTTAAAAATAAACAATATACTTTATTCTAAAATTCATTACCCCATAGATATTAAATATATGAACACTAACTTATTCTAGCTTAAAATTTATTGCACATGTTAACAAATTAAAAATACATATCATGGGTAAAAATAAGTAAGTTATTTTATAGAAATTTGTTTTATTGCATAATTTATTTCCCTGTGCATGTAAACCTAAATTTCAATGGATGTAGGCTTGAATTTTTATAATTTGTAAAAATTAAATTTATAATTTTATTATAAATTATAAATTTACATTTTTTTATACATTTGACATTTAACACTTATAATAACATTTGCAATAAAAAAGTAGATAGTATTATATGAAAAAATTCTTACAACAGTCTAATTAAATTGATCAATTATTATTGTATCACATGTGACACTTATTAAGTGATAGGATTTGATTCAGTCATTAAATTTAAACATAATATGTCTTATAAAATCATTATAATTCTATTATATATAATCCATTAATAAATTTTACTATATATTTTCTCAATTTTTAAATATAAGCAAAATTTTCATGTGGTTTGTTGTTATTTTTTATAAGCAAAAAAAATAATTTTCAAAAGGTTTTTATGACATCTTTTCTTAATTACTCTTCATTTGATGATAGTATCATTAAATTAGAAAAATAAAATAAAATGTTAATCACAAATACATCTTAATCCAAACTTTTTAATTTTAGACATAATTATTAAGATTAATAAATTTTTAAAATTAAATTGATTAATTTACTTATATTTAAAAATGAAAGAGAATAAGTTGATTGATTTAAATAATAAAATATTTTATTTTATAATTTATCATTT